GGACAGAGCCTACGGTAACGTCAGGTTTCTTCAATAGCTGAAAAATTGCGAACGCCGATGCAGAGGTCCATACCATTGTAGCAAACCAGAAATAATGAAACAAAACAGCAATGGCAATGCAAATAGGTCTTATTTGATGGAATTCTGAGAGCGAACCAACGGAAAATAGGAGTTGTGTTATGAAAAGACAGCCGATCAAATTCATCGTGTTTAAATCAGTCACCTCTCTTAATTTCGGAGATTGGACGTAACCGATGAATAGCAGACAGAGAAATGTCAGCGAAACTGTAGTCAACGAAAGGGACACATAAGCACGGTAATCTACGGCAGGCTTATCATATAGGCCTATATTTGACGGCATTCTGAAATATACCTCAAAGGGAATGTATGCAAACTTCCTAGTTATATGTAGATCTTTTGGGTCTAGGATACCTGGTCTATTGCGCACTGTTACGTACCTGTCACCTCTACTGTCATTATGAAACGCTACATAAGATGACGGGACATTCACCCAAGTGCCGTCATTTCTGTAAATGTTCGGCACTGTACTTCTACTTGTTGTTGTACTGTCTTTATCTTCAATGTACAGTAATTTGCACCTAAATTTTGTACCGACTAATGCCAGCTTTAATTTCTCAAATATTTTGTAGAAAATGCTCTCGAGTTTAACCAAAATCTCATCGTAAGTTTCAGCATGCCCAAAATGCTGTAGCACTATATCCACTGTGACTGAGCAGCTGTAATAATAATCTAAATCATTATCATGCAATTTTGTTGTTATCTTTATACCTTCACCCAGCGTTGTACGCAGTACTGACCAGGTGCTGTTCAAAGCTTCCTGGAATATATCAAACAGTTCACTTCTGCTATAAAAGCAGATGCCTGTTGTATTGCTTTGGAACAATAGTCCCACAAAAACGGTTCCTAGATTAAAACGGTTGAACAATGGTTGACAAGTATTGTTCCTCAGTTCTGTTCCTCGACGACAAAGTATGGTTAGGCACTGGTTCTGAAAAAGAAACGCCACGATATACCGTATATATATATATATATATATATATAAGCCTTTAATTGACCCTGTCTTTCATTTGGGTATAGATAAACTGTAGAACAGATTCTCTCTTCCAGAATTATTCTCTAGCTCTTACAAAATGCGGCATTTGAGGAGATTGAAGATATCGGTGACTTTGCACGTGTTTTTCCTGCGTTTCCTATCATTCGCCCTTGACGCACTTCTTAAAACTATATGAAATACAAATACATTATGTAACGGCCAACTACATAAGTCAGCTTTTTAGACATGTCCTACGGGCCTTCTTGTTTTTATAAGACTGAATAAACAAAGCAAAACACTGCTCTCTGTTAGTGGTGTCTGGATCAAAAATTCATGGAAGGTGTTTTCTTCTTGCTTTAAGAACAGGTGTCAAAAGGTGCATGGTAGACATGGGTGATAAAAAAAGTTGCCGGACACTTGAAAAATATGAAGTCGCAGATGAATTTGGAGATACTCAAAACTGTACTCGAAAGCAGTAAGTGCAGTTGACGTGCACGTCTTGCGCACCACATTTGGAAAGTTTTGACTTTAATCTCAGCTTAAATTCCGATGTTGCAAAAGATCTATCACCCAGCATCCTGTTCAAAGATACAGGAGCCCAAACGCAAACTTCTCATGTAGCATGAGCGCATAGCGCTGGCTGACATACATGCACATGCTGTATTTAGTTACATTTTTAGGTGATAACACTAATAATGATAATAATAATAGCCAGAACAGCTATTTTAAACTGGTGTAATATGATTTCCTCTGGGACATGCGGGAAAGAGGCGCGCTTACTGAGTAGTTTAAACGTTAGTCCCTATTTTATAGTCGCAGATGAATTTGGAGATACTCAAAACTGTACTCGAAAGCAGTAAGTGCAGTTGACGTGCACGTCTTGCGTACCACATTTGGAAAGTTTTGACTTTAATCTCAGCTTAAATTCCGATGTTGCAAAAGATCTATCACCCAGCATCCTGTTCAAAGATACAGGAGCCCAAACGCAAACTTCTCATGTAGCATGAGCGCATAGCGCTGGCTGACATACATGCACATGCTGTATTTAGTTACATGCCTTACAGGTACCATGTGCCTCTTTGTGTTAATTTTTACCTGATAGAGTATTTGGTTTCTCTTGCAGATGTTTTCACTTTTCTCTTGTGTAAGGTTTAACGTCGGTAGAAGCTCATCCCATCCAATGCTCAACTCCACAGCAAACCTCACGGGGAAATGAACCCCTGGGGTTTCATATGACACGAGGGTTGTTTCTAAAAAGAGTCAAGAAACTGGTAGACTTATGGTAACTGAGTTGTCCAAAGCAAAATGATAATTTCATCATGGAAGTAACTTTGGAAGGGGTACTTTGATAAAAAATGCTAAGTTGGTCAATTTCACGGAGCTTTCAAAATTTCTCAGAAAATCATTAGAGTAGACGGATCTACCTGTTTCCTCACAACTTAATTTTTATTCCCAAGTCCACGTATCCCATTCACCTCTTATCAGAATTAATTATCATTTTATCAATATAATCTGAATTTAGCATTTCAACGACTATCACGACCATACCTGGTATTGAGCAATTCTCATCTTTCCGAACCTTCACATTTAAATAATCTAAACAACCTTGGCCACGGTGGATTTCATACGACAGCACTTCTGACGAAACGTTGATCGTTTCTATTGGGTTGTTCTCTATTAACGCCGCTGTTGGGTGGCATGTGTCATCTTTACTAGATCGTTCCCCACAGAGGTTCTCCGTCCATTCGCCATTGCAAGCATCTGTGATGTCAGCTTCTTCAAAACAACGCCGGGCAATCGAATGATTCTCCCTCTCATCTTCCTGCTCTTTGAAATGGGCCTCGCAAGAGTATTCCTCGGCGTATTTCCAAAACCAAATCAAATATGCCAACCTGCTTTTAGTGTTGCGCCGGTCGGCTACTGACTTGTGTTCCATGCACGAAATCTTTAAGGTCCAAATCACCATCTTATCAATAGTGACACCATTACAAAGTCCACAGAAGACGTTGGCATACGTGAGTCCCGTGGAGGGTACTGACACGGGCAATATGGACCAGGCACGATTCGTGTCGGACGAATATCGTGGCTCTGGGGGTGCGGTACACTCTCTGTTGTACTGGTGCGATTCGGTAAGGCACCGAGAAACAAGCCAGATTTTCTTGCGCGAATAATGCGAGTTTTTTTGACCTGGTGCCGAAACGCATTGGGCAATACCTTTTGTCTGTTCACTAGCGCTTCGGTCGTTTTGGTTAGTATGCCTAGTGCTACATGTGTTTTTCCAATCTTCACAGCAGTCGAGATAAGGTCGCTGGTCGCAGTCACTTCTGCAACTACACACCCTTTTGACGAAAACACCGTCTGTAGTGCTGCATAACCACTGGTTTGCGGGGAAAATAGTGTTGCCTGTGCTGTGTACGGATAGATATCCGAAAAAAAGCACTGTGACTACTGCCCTAAAATGAAGGCAAGAAGAAATGCACACGCCGATCATTTTTGACAATCAATCCGGCCAGTTGTCCGAGAGAGTGTGTACTCAAGTCTTCATTTATACAGTGTACACGCATGTTATAAATGCCCTGAGCGAAATTCGCCAATCAAATGAAGGCTGTAGGGAAAGTCGCGAATGCTAATCGGATGGAAAAAAAACAGGTGTTGTTTGTTAAAACAGGTACAGAAGGTACTCAAATCGAACAAGAGCTTTATTGTATTATTGGGCTGTGTGGCACCAAGTCGTCACTTGTTTTTATTAATAAAACAAAGTTTTAGTGGTTTTGATGCAGGGAGATTGAAAGGTTGGGCATCTTTTCCTAAAATGACTTTAAGAAATTTGACCTCCATACCCGTTCTCCACATCAAGATTTCGTGTTCCAATTGCGAACTTTGTAATTCTGAAAGCGTTTGTCACATATCTAGCATTGACATTGTGCTGAGATTACACTAGAAAATGTATTCCTATACTCGATTCGTAGACTAAGGTCGTCTCCGAACTCGTTCAAATGTAGAATCCCCCACTTTTTGGTGATTTACTCACATCTGCAGCTATCCAAACGTTTATTTATTTTTTTTGTTCTTTCGGGGCACCATACCTTCCCGTTACCCTTAATGAGCCCCTCCGGGTTTTCACGTGAAGATGAGTCCAAAAGTTGCTTGCCTACCTCCGGCTTAACGTTTACCCGTGTAGATGAAAACCAATAATTGCTAGCCTCTGGTTGTTCATATCAGGGAATAAATGGCTTGTATTCTGAATTGTGCCTTTCCATGACATTTGCTAAAGAGAATTTCAAAACAAACTCCAGGATTGAGGTTTCGGCTCGATTTGTGAACATCAAGGTACGTCGTCCTCAGTCAAAAATGGCCCCAATAAATGATTTTGTTTATCTCAACTACATATCTGTTGGATCCATTATCAAATACATGCATATATGTCGACCAACTGAAGTCCCTCGAATCAGATTTACACGACATAAACCAGGTGTCAGCACTAGAGAATGCATATTGCGTGTTCTTTTATCATCTCTTCTCATTTGCCTGGAGCTCAGTTTTAATAATGCCACGTAGTAGATATGACTAGAAGCCTTCTTTTTGTTTTGAATATGAGTAGATGACTATAAACGCTATCTCAACAATGCCCCGAACCCACAGGTTCGCGTTTTGTTCCAATGTATGATCATAAAAGCTACATGTATAAAGTGAAAAACTAGGTTCAGACAAAACTGTAATGAAAGTTTACCTTTTTAAGTTTATTTAAAATTAAAATCAAAAGATAGGTTTGGATTTAAGGTTTGAAAGCATGATGTTTTCGATCGGCAAGATCAGCCGACTTTGCCAATACAAATTCTCGCCCGATATTTAAGGAACTGTTAAAAAGCGACTGGTCAATGCCAAAGCGATAAGTTCCAGCCTACGGTGTAACTTCTGTCTGCTTCTTGTCATAAAATGTAAATGTAAAACTAAGGACAACATTTAGCAAGATTTGTTTCGAGATGAATGTCTTTTTAATATCTTAACAAAGTCGTTGGTCGTACGCGAAGTAAGTGAGATTGTATTTGCCGGTGGTGAAGCATTCTGCAGCTCTTCTGTCGCATTCACACAGGTTGTAGCGACATCTACCTTCCAACCAATAAGACGATGGTGGATCTGAAACGCAAATGCAAATGGGGATTTTATGACTTTTGAGCTTCAAACAAAGCAAACCTATTGTATCAACATCACTAATTAGCACAGGACAGTGATTTTTTTTTTACTTTTGTGTTTCTGACCTTGTGGTTTTAAAAGAATTAACATTTGCCCAGCAAGCACAGAACGTTTTATGACGTTACCATAACATTTTTGGTAATATAAACGCTTTAGATAACGTTATATACATGTATATAAGAACGTTTTTATAACATTTGCTGGGAGGATACAGAATAAACAAATGGACTCTGGGAAGAGAGAGAACAGGGGGGTCACTTACAACAATGAGCAGGCAAAGAGCGCTTAAATCCCATGCCACAGGTGGCAGAGTACGGCAGGAGATATGGGCTTAGGCTGCCGCACTCTTCCTGTATCAACGCATAGCACTCGTCGTGCGCCTTGCAGCACCTACGAAAGAGAAAAACAAACTTCAATCATGGACGTATAACTGGGTGTTGAATACCCTAATGTATAACTGATAACCAGAAAGGAACCAAGAAACTGCCACATTAATAGTACAACAAGCATAATCTGGTTGAAGTTTTGTCTTAGTTTTTTTTTTTTTTTTTTTTTGCCATAGGCCCTATACGCAATGCTCTGCTATAATATTCTATCATTTTACCAATAAGTACAATGGCAGCACCTCTATCCTCGGAGGATATCCCTTCTTTCCCTTGTCCCACCTTAAAAGCGGTATAACACTCAAAACGAGACCAAAAAAGCAATTTTCCATCCCTGTGCCTTACGCATAATGGTACACTTCCCTTGTCAAATCGTCTGTTGTAATGCCCCTCACCAATATCCTCGAATCGCCACTGTTTACACACTTTTCATTAGAGACCTCATTATCAAGGTCCAATATATCATAAAGTTTCATTACCGCATTTAACCTCACCTATCAATATCGTCAACGGGAGTCCCGCCCCCATCGAATCCACAATAGCAGCCATAGTCCAGGAAGTCCGTGAACCAGTGGTCGGACAGACAGGAGATGAACATGGCGAAGTCTACCAAAGATTTGCTGTCTCTTATTAAGGCTAAAATAGTGTGCAGCAAACAATTTGTACAATGATATATAAGAGTTATGGTATTCTGTGAAACCGAATTGTATAAAATGTTGTATACATTTCAAGAAACGGTTCATGGGAAGTGAAGTTTCCGTAAGGGTAACCCCGATATTTTCGGCTAACCCGGACTTGTATACTAATCTTACGAGGCCCTGCACTTCCATTCTTAGGTCTAATATTTCTGTCATACCAACCAAAGTTATATTCTAAATACCATTTGGCATCATTATGGCATCAAAAAAATATATATATATATACAACTTTCATACCTGGAGACGTTGGCGCTCCCCTGTTACTCCCTATTAAAGTGATAAAGGCACCCACGGTGAAAATGAAGCCCAGAGGATGACACAATGAATACAGCCACATTTTTTGCTCTATATGCCGCGGAACACTTCTTATAATGCCAAGATATGTTTTGATGCTCTTTGGTTGCGAAAAGTTTACACAAATATTTTAATACGAGGATGCACATGGCAAATCTGTGTTTGGTACCATTAGCAGACAGTTCGTTTATTTGTATTGTTTCATGGCATGCTATTCTGACGTTTACGTTGATATTGAAGGGTATCTTAGGTCATGCTGTAACGTTTTCATGTAGTGTCATTGCTTATGCTCACGTCGTGAATGACGAGAGAGAGAAATGAAGAGATGTAGGCCTAAAAATATTTTTTAAATAATGACAAATAATAAAACACAATAAAGTAAAGGTTTATTCATTATGAAATACATTTAAAACAGATATTAAATTACCATCTAAGGTTTAATGAAAAGAAAATACTAAGAGAAAAGAAAAGTTAAAAATCATCGATTACAATAATTTGTTTTACTATTTATAAGAGGTGCAGCAGTTAGATACATGTAAAAGTTTTTTTTTTCCTTTTTCTTAAAATTTAAAGTCTACCTTGTCTTGGAAAAAAATTAATAAGTCCATAGGTCGGTTGTCTCTTATCAATCATAATCTTTTCGGTTTTAGAGAAAGAAAGAAAGAAATTTTCGACAAATGCTTTGCCAGCAGAGAACACGTACGTTTGGCGTTTAAAACTTAACATGTGAATTTTATTTCCTAAAATCTTTCACCGCTATTTACTAGCATTTCTTCAGATTCGATCAATGTCCATATGGACATCTTTCCTACGATCTGTCGATAAACTGTTAACTTAAAGTACTTAAGTCAAGAAATTGAATAAGTCGTTGACCTGCGTAAAAAGACGCAGTTACTTAATGTAGCCTACGGTTGCCACCTGTGTCACTCGTGAGTTGCAGCTTATTAATGTTTACATTAAAGTTAAAGAAAATAATTCACTGCCTTATCAGAAGAGTTAATTGAAAATATTCCTTCGTAAATTTCGATAAAATCCCTGACAATGTGTAGGCCTACAGTTATACTCACGTAAGTATGTAGGCCCTATAACTGGGCGCATTTTATTTGGATATTGTTAATTGGAATAATCTAATTTTTTGTCCAACAAGTTTTCAGTTTATGGTGGTTTGCCTGGTTGAAATGTGTAAAATCCCTCTTTTATAAATCCACTGGGCATACTTCACCTAAAGGTAAAAAGGTTGGTATTGATTTTAAAATGTTGTTTGGGTATATTGTATCTCCTTTCATAAAAAAAAGAAATGAACAAAAATGCTATATGAATATACTGTTCAGGGTGTTACAGCCACTATTTTAATTTTATTCGAGTCCATTCCTAGCACGAACTTCATATCTTACCAGAAAATCAGTCAGAAAGCGCAGATCTTCGCAAAGGCTCACTTCTTGATTAATTAAGCGGCTATAGGCCTATATTATAAAAGATAAACTTAATTCTCATTATTGAAATTAAATAATTAACTAAATGATTTGCTCGACTTTATTATAAATTGATTTGTTAATAAGTGCAATTTTCATAAATTGGTTAATTAATAAGCGCAATTTTCATTACAACTAATTCATTAATCATAATATCTTGCCCATTAATTAATTTTGTAGTATACCCCCCCACCCTGTAACTTTCTGTAACTTTCACTTTTCAAACAGTTTTTTACATTTTCTTGTTCATGTATGTCAAAGCTGTTGAAATAAAATGCTTTTGTAATTACCTGTGGACTTTTTATTTGTTTTAATCACGTTTAATCCAGCCCATTGAAATACAAAGTTAGAATCTTCAATTTACACCCGCAGTCAATAACTTGCCGCGTTTTCGTTGGCTAACTCAAAGGTAATTTTATGTGAACAAGTAGCTCATAATAATTTCACAGAGAAAGTCCAAGTATACAATGTATCAATCCTATGTTCACATAAAATAAGGTAGAGTTAGCCAACGAAAACGCGGCAAGTTATTGACTGCGGGTACATTGTAAATTTTCACATTGTATTTCAATGGGGTGGATTAAACGTGATTAAAACTAATAAAAAGACCACAGGTAATTACAAAAACATTTTATTTCAACAGTTTTGACATAGGTGAAAAAGACAATGTAAAAAAATGTTTGAAAAATGAAAGTTTCAGGAAGTTACAGGGTGGGGGGGTATACTACAAAAGTANCAGACATCGGACAATAGAAAGGCTTGCGTGTAATCTCCTTCTGTTATAACTCCTTGGATAAATTAAGCGGTTATATATTATAATAGATAAACTTAATTCTCATTACTGAAATTAAATAATTAACTAAATGATTTGCTCGACTTTCATTATAAATTGATTTGTTAATAAGTGCAATCTTCATAAATTGGTTAATTAATAAGCGCAATTTTCATTACAACTAATTCATTAATCACAATATCTTGCCCATCAATTAATTTGACCCATCCTGAAAATTTCACCAGAAATTTCTCCATATTTATTGTGTAATGTTGCCAGACAAACATATATTTTAATTAACAATTAAATAAATGGGTCATCGCCAAAATCTAATGTTTTGTTACTTGTTTCTCTCCATTCTTTTTCTGAATACATCGAAATCCAGTGATCGAAATCCGTCCATGTGGCGAACAGACGAACCAAAAAAGAAATTTCCATCCTTCAATAAGTGAAGAGCAGTGCACTCAAAACGAGGTCACGTCAACCTACAGTGGAAAGTTGCAAGCTTAGAAAAATGTAAGGTAAGTCTATCCGGATGTATAAAATTGTATTATATGAGTCAGTTCGTAATACTCTAATAAGGATACGGATGTTCAGTGCTTTGTCTAAAGATGCAATACGCTTTTGATTCCATGCAAACCTCGTGTTGACCCTTATGTTTTCAAGGTCAGGACAGAAGGAAAACACTACACAGAAGCTAGTGGTATATATATACGACTAACTGAGAAGTATTATAGGATTCATGTGAAAGGGTAAAATTTTAGATATATTATATTTAACTATTAATAATATTTATATTTAACTCTCTCTCTCTCTCTCTCTCTCTCTCTCTCTCTCTCTCTCTCTCTGATCCCCCCCACCTTTCTAGAGGATTTATTATTTATCTTTTAATTATTTATATATCAGATTTTCGTAACTTTTGTTCACAGCTCGTGTGTTTGAATGCTTCCATCAACTTTACTTAAAAAATGTCAAATACCTTTTCAGATAGCAATGGATAATCCTGGTGAAGATGAATCTCCAGACAGTGCAAGTGGACGTACTGATACAGAGGTAGACAATATGGAGCAGGATGATGCTCTGCACCCAGCAAGTGGCACCCCTGTCACAATAACTGGAAGGGAAGCCAGTCAGACACAAAGTGAGCTTTCAGAGTCCCCACCCAGTCACTCTGAAAGTAGCCAGGAAGATGTTGCTGAAAAAGTAACACAGGAAGATGAGGAGGAATCAGAAAGTGGGGTTGATGGGCAGTCGGACTTTAGTGAAGATATAACCTGTCTAATTGCGGACAGTATACATGGTGCTGATGGAGTGGAGACGCAGACTTGCTTACCTCATTCTATACTAAAGCATCAGACACAGGATGATAGGGAGCCTATACCAGGTGAATTTTCAGTGATGGCAATTTCCCTCTTTTTGATGATTTTCTTCCTTTTTGGTGTACTTTAAATATAAAAGAGGGTTTAGAAAATTGCTAGATTTTCTATGAATTGTTATAATCCAGGGTAAATTCACCTCTTTACTAGTAAGCAATTTTGTGTTCCTAGCTTTTGTAATGGATAACGTTTGCATGAAAACGGGGTAAACATATTTGCTTTCAGTTGCCAAATTCTATCCATCTTTCACTGAATACGATAAAATTATATTTAACACAAGGTTTTGAAAAATTAATGTATTTTTAGTTGTGGACGATATGAAGCCACAGATGAAACTCAGGTGGCGTTCCTTATCAGTGTCTGAGGATCCCATTGATCCTAGACAGTTTGATCCACCTAAGTTCCACCGATCAGTCTCGGCAAGTGATGACACCACAGACCTGACAACTAGGGGGATACATGTCACTGAACTGATACAGTTACGCAAAGTCAGGTTTCAGGATGCAATATCTGAAGAGGAGGAAGAATATAAGAAGAAAAAATCCACAAGGATAAATCCTTTAGGCGAGGTTGTGAGAATCACCCCCTCGCGGCGATCAGTTCCCCGGAATTTAAGCATGGAAGGACAAAGGCACCTGTGCAGTGTGACAAATTTACGGTTTCGGCAGAGACGGCGTGGGAGTGCATCATCAGCAAAATCTGGTGATGCTTCTGAACCTGAGAACGAAATGTGTTCATCTGAGGAAGAGAGTATACAGGACTACAAACCTGTCACATTTTTTACGGAGGACGATGAACCACAAACATTTCATGTGAGGTATCCCCATGTGTTAAAAGGTCCATTGGATGTGAACGAGGATGGATTGGAAAATCTGCATTCGCAGTCTCTCATGGAAGCAGTAACTGAGGAAGAGGAGGTGGAAATTCCAACAGGACTACACAGAGTCCTCTCAGTCACTATTGGTGGTTTAAACAGGGTGCTTACTAGGCTACAGCTACATAGACACAGTATTGCTGCTCCACCTCCAGACCCTCTTCAAATCCTACATCATGGAGATCTCATGTCAGATTTATCACACAGTGGAAATGTTCCTGACAGCGAAGGTTACCGCAGCCACCTCAGAAGATTCTCTACTCAGAGCGATGATTCTTTGGCCAGTCAGGAGACACGTACAACAGAATTAAATCGTTCTTCTAGCATGGACTCTGATACGTTTGTGGATTTTACTGTCCGACCTGCAAAAGAGGAACGCAAACTGTCTTTGATACATCGAGCTACTTCGTGTATTTTTGATGAGTATTATAAACCTTGGTGGAAGAGACATCGTCCTACAGGGAAGTGGGCTGTAGCCTTCTGCCTATCCTTATCTTGGTTGTTGGTATTTTTGACTTTGTAAGTAAATTTTGGGCTTTGTTTTGATTTTGTAATTTTAACTGGTGATTCTTGGTAAATTTCCTGTAACTGGACAAGAAAAAAGTGTTATTTATATTTACTTGTATTCACTTTTGGAGAGACACAGAGAGGGAGAGACAGAGAGAGATTGGGGATACTGTTAATTGTCACCACACTTCAATTTTTTCAGTATTCTAATTAACACAATTGCAAGAAGTATCTGTCCCAAAAAGAATGAATGATTGTTTGCAGCCCTCTGATGTCACAAATTAAATTACCTAAATCAATTGATTTTTATCTTTATAAAATCTTCAGCTTACTGTATGCAGTATTAACTTACACCCCACCTCCAAAGTTGGACTGGTGGCAAACCACTGTGATATACCAAATATATCCAAGGAGTTTTCAAGACTATAATCATGATGGCATTGGGGATCTTCGGGGTATGTTTCAAATATTAAAATATTTGTCTTTATTTGTGTTATATCTCAGTCTGTGTTCCCATAACCTTATTGTACTAGTAGAATCGATCTTTCTCAGCAGGGATACTTGCTAAGGCACCTTCAGTCAGTGCCATCAGCTAAATTGTCTGGCACGCCCCTTGCAAAGCAACATGAACAACGTCATGGACCACAATGTTTCTCTGACTTTACCCAAGTGGTTTAGGTTATGGAGAGAGTGCGAGACATTTCAGCCACTTAAACTGAGTGCATTTAACGAGAATTCCCTAGTAGTTAGATTGATTCAGTTTGTACAATAAGGTTATGAGAATGGTACTGGAAGGGGTACTTCAAATGTTTGAGACCTATTTTTTTCAGCTGCTAAGATTGTAAAATGAAATGAAAATTTCCCTCTTCCAGGGATTGAGGAGCGTTTAGATTACTTTAAAACCATTGGCGTGGACACAATCTGGTTGAGTCCCATATACGATAGTCCCATGAGAGATTTTGGTTACGATGTCACAAACTACACCAAAGTGTGGCCGACCTTTGGAACCATGTCGGACTTTGAACATCTGGTGAACGAGGCCCATGACAAAGGTAAGTTTTTTTTTCTGGAAAATCAATAAAATGGTTTTTTTTTTTTTTTTGGTCAAATTTTCTGTTTTGTTTCTTATTTGTAACCTCTGTTTAGCAGCTAATTGTTGTGTCAGAAATCTCACAATGGTGAAAAAGTAATGTAAACATTGATGAAATCATGCAGTTTGTTTTGTTCAGTCCTGGTTATGTTATTTTATTTGATCATTGTAAAGTAATTTTAAAATGTTAATAGAATTGAGATAGTGTGATGTTTATTTTCAGACATGCTTCTCTTGCATGTTTAATTACAAATGAAGAATGGGTATTTCAATGGCTTGTTTATTATTATTATTATCGTTGTTATTGTTGTTGTTGTTACGGAAAAACAACAGTTACAAAATTAAAGCTGCAGCAATTCAAAAAACATCTGTAAAAAATTACTAAAAATAACAGTTTTCTGTTTCAATCCAGGCCTGTATGTGATTCTAGACTACATCCCTAACCACTCCTCCAATGAGACAGAATGGTTTATCAGAAGTCGCCATGCCAAGGACTCGTCTGATATCTACAGCTACTACTACGTGTGGAAGGACTGTGGGGAAAATGGCAGCTGGGTGCCTACAAACTGGGTAGGAGAGCTATTTCCCAAAAAATACTGCAAATAATGAGTGATTAATAATCTCTCTATCTCTCACTTTATGGGGAAGTGATGCAATTGTGTTGAGTGTCTGTATTACTTATTTTTTAATGAAAAAAATAATTCTTATCCTGGAACTTAAATTGAATCGGAAATCATGACATTTTGACCTCAATGCAAGGCCTTCAGGTGAACTGATTTTGACTTGTCACCGATGTGAAGTAATTTTTCCATTATCTTAGTAAAATATAAATGGATGGATTTTGATGTATTCATCAAGTATTTTGCACCCCAAAATTATGTTTTAAGATTTTCAGTAGCAGGTTGCCTCTTGTTTTCCATTGCAGAGAAGTTTGTTTGGGAAGTCTGCCTGGGAGTGGGATCCTGTGCGCAAACAGTGCTATCTTCACCAGTTTCTGCCCTCTCAGCCAGACTTTGACTTCAGGAACCCTCTAGTCATTGAAGAGATGGAGGTAGACTGTTTTTGTAAATAAAAAAGTGAATATTAGCCCTTTGGAGTGAACGCAAAGTGGGCTTGAATGGGTTTAGAATTTTACAGTGATTATTATGTTTATTCTCACATAGAAAAAGTGCTTGAAAATCATCTGTGAATTAGTTCGGCCACATCACTGTACAGTTTTATGTCATATGTCAATTTTATTTCAACTATGCAAATGCAATCAAAACTTAGAAAATTAAAAAAAATAAAAATTACAAATTGGTTTACAGCTAAACCACATCTGGTTCAAAATTGTTTTCTCAGGCTGCCAAGCATATGGCAGTCTTCTTGCATTCAATTTTACATCAGCTAGATTTTTACGTGATTAGAAAAAGACCTCTTGCAAAATGTTAATTTCAATTTTATGTTCTTTACTTGAAACTTTCCTTTTAGGAAGTGTTAAAATTCTGGATGGAGAAGGGAGTTGATGGGTTTCGCGTGGACTCTATTAAGTTTCTCTTTGAGGACTATTTGTATAGGAATGAGAGCATTGACAACCCAGACTTGGACCCAGTAAGTCTCTTTAATGCCACACCAGGAATTCCCTTCTTTATATGTGTAAAAAAGTGATTTGCAACAAACCAGATTTTTATGAATTTTTTTTTTAAATGGGGGAATAAAAGAGATAAATGATAAGAATTTCTTAGTTATTAACATATGTTAATTACAAAATATCCTCTACATACATTATGAGTTTTTTTCCAGTTATCTTTTTATGGATACATTTAGTGCCTATATTTATGTTCAATCTCTCTTCATTTTCATGTCATTGCTCTTGTTATCTGCATGATTATCAACAAAAAATAATTTTTGAAATGAGCCAATATTTAAATCATTCATTTTTGAATCATATCAAGTTAATAAATACACATATGTCACATTACACAGCATTTATTGTGATAATTTTCAAATTGCAATTTACATTTTGACACTTTTAGGATAGGTACGAATATCTTAAACACAACCTGACAGCATCTCTGCAAGAGTTATACTACATTGTGGCTAGATGGCGCCACTTGCTCAATGAATGGGGAAAACTTCATGGGAGAAAAATGTATGACAATGTGTTTATGAATTATCCACTTCATTTGTTGATAAAAGGAATGGGAATTTTATTATTTACTTAAAGTCTTGGTTGTCTTGTTTGTATGTATGAATTATCTATCATGTCATCATTGTTGATACTTACAGTGTTATAAATTGGTGTTACTTAAAATTCTAAGACGTGCTTATCTGTGTCATTTATATAAATTTCTTTTATGTGTAATGTGTAAAGTGAGCTGCATTGAAATCTAACACAAACAATTGTAATTTGTTAATGCGTGCAAACAACAGAAAAAAAAAACTATTTGTGTCTCTAATTTGTGAACAGAGTCCTAATTGGTGAGGCGTATGGTGAAACAGAAGAAGTAATGCGACTCCATGGAGAGTACACTTGTGAAGGGACAGATTACCCATTCAACTTCAACCTCATCTTCCTGAACAGAACCTGTGGAGGCAACTGTGTGTATAAGCTTGTAGATGACTGGATGGGGAAAATGAAGAAGAATTTCTGGGCAAACTGGGTGGTACGTTTTGTGGATACTTTTATATCCGAATTGGGATTTTTGGTAATACCCCATTTACATCGGGCTTGCCTTAGCTTGGATAACAATTTTTGGCCTACTTTCGCCATCAGTCCTTGGGAAATACCCTGGGTTTGCAGGGTGGTATATTTTGTGATCTTGATAGTCTTTCATATTGCCCCTTTTGCCTCCATCTGGTTTATGCTAACTTAACATTTGTCAGCTCTAGCTGGTTATTTTGTAAATCACTGCTGCCTTTGTCCGAAAGGCATTTCAGAATGCTTATATTATCCTTTTGAGTTTATAACTAAAGATGGTTTGATGGTTTATAAGTACAAAAGGTACTGTTATGGATTCCAGGGAAATATATCAATTGCATTTTTCTCCAAAATCCTGTAAACAGTAAGTTTACTGTTACAGTCTGCAAATGTATTCAGCAAGAATCAAGAATGGTATCAAAGAGGCTGCTACTTGTAATATCAATATTTTGGGTCACTTTGACCAAAGTAATTAACTAAGACGAAACTTATCCATTGTAACTGTGACAATTTTTACTATGAAATTCCCACTTTTAGTTTGATAGCATCAACATGTTGGGCATTTGATTTTTTTAGCTTGGAACCCTGACAGTTATTGTTCATTTTTACTCTATTTCAGTTAGGTAACCATGACAACCCCAGAATAGCCACCAAGATGGGCCCACAGTTTGTGAATGCACTGAACATGCTGTTGCTGCTACTTCCTGGGACTCCCACTACTTACTATGGAGAAGAACTTGGCATGGAAAATATAGACCAGCCTCAACCCATCAGAGACCCCTTTGGGCTGATGTTTAATGTAAGGGAAATTGGTTCAGAGTCGATAGTCTGATTAGTTTTGATGTTATTATCATCATTTTTGAGTTCATTTCTGAATCTGGGTTTCTTTTGCAGCCCAAATGTTGAATCTACTTTAATTTTGATGTAATGAAAGGTAAACTATTTCCCTACTTTTTAATTAATTGTTGTTTTATTTTATTCTTTATTTTATCTCATTTTATGTATTTATTGGGCCAATTTTGTTGTGAATGTAACCTCACAATATTGGCTGGTTGAAATTATCACTGAATGACATTTAATCACAGAATGAACCAGTCATAATAAATAAAACTGGAAGAAGCTTGCTGATTTTTCCAGGGATTTTTTGCCCATCCAATTTTTTTTTCACCTTGGTTACTTTTGCATCACACCTCTTACCAGACATTTTAAGTGCACATTGATCCCTAGAAATCCCAATGGAAAATACGATCATTAATAATGGTATTACTATCTGCTCTCAGCAATGATATGTATTATGCTGGTTGGTCCTGTATTTTAAAAATTTGGTGTTGATTTTAGTGCACCATTTCTCTTCTGTTTTGGCTGAAATGAGGCCAAATCTGTCATTTTGCTCTATAAAAGAGGTGCCATGTCTCACTCATTCTTTTGGATGCAATCATGATTATATTTGCAGCATTGTCCCAATCTTTAACTTGTGATGCAATGTTTTAATCATTATTCCAGGACACATCTCGTGATCCAGAACGTTCCCCCATGCAGTGGAGTCGTGGACGCCATGCTGGGTACAGCAATGGTTCCGAGGCTTGGCTTCCAGTTCATCCAAACTACAAGACTGGCTATACTGTAGAAGTAAGTGTGTGTGTGTGTGTGTGTGATAAAATTAATTTTATTAGAAAGTGCTGGCTTTAAAAATAAAGGTACTTAGAATAATGTCTTCCATTTCTTGCTTAGTACAGTTTTGGATATGCCTAATGATATTGTGTTGCAGGACCAGTTAAAGGACCCAGAATCCCACCTTAGTGTCTACATGTCACTAGTCAGACTACGTCAGGAATACGCTTTCCTCTATGGCAACTTCCACTATGCCATCATTGATGATAAAATCTTCTCCTTTGTAAGAGAATGGCCAGGAAGTGTGGGACAACCAGTGTAAGTGGTTTGCTTTGCATTGATTGAAAAGTCCACATCAATGCACCCTTTTTATACAGAATGTAAAAAGAAATAGAACTGAAATGTAATCAAAGGTTAAAGAATGAATAAAAAATAAGCTAAAATAAAGCTGCAACCAAATTATAAAAAATCTGTGAGTAAAATGAATTTTATTTGATAAAGAATTCATTATTGGAGGTTAACAAAATGGTTCTTAACAAAAAATGAATATTAAAATTGTACAAAAAATGTGTTTTTTTTTCTCTCGTTCCAGTTACCTTATTGCCATCAATTTTGGCAATGAGACTTGCCTGACCGACTTCACACTCTCTGCCAGGTTTCATGTCCCCAAGAAAGGCTACGTCATCGAAAACACCAGGCAGAATATTTCAGAGAAACTGGCCATCGGAAAGAAGATAAAGTTAAACCAAGTGGAATTGGAGCCAGGCCAGGGTATTGTTGTGCAGTGGTATGTTTGGAGATCCAGACTGGATGCTTTTATGGACTACATAATCGGGATATTCTATAAGAAACCAAAGAAGAAAACGGCTTTTTATCAAAATTACAAAAAGGAGCCAATCGCTACTGATTTGAATAACCCATTAAAGGTTAAAAAGCATGCGGAAAACATGCTCCATCAAGCTCAGGAGGCTAAGAATGCACTTAATACCATGGTAGATATCATTGGTCAAAATAAGGCAGATAGAAAACATGACAGCATAGGTTATGTCCCAGTTAGCTCAAATTCTACAAGCTACAAAACAAAAAAAGAGCAGTCTAGTAGTATAGAGGCACAGGGTCAGGAAAGGGCAGTCCATAAGAACAATATTCAGGTTTCTGATAAAACTAGCCACTCCAGGAATGCATTGGATGTGAAAGGTTATCAACACTCAGATGACTCCATGCGTGGTCATAAGATGACCTATAGAGTATCAATGAAGGACACAGGCCAGTTAGACAACAAGGACAAGGGTCATGAAAGTAAGGCTAGTGGAACCGAAGATTCTGATAAAGTTCTCAAAACGAGAGCTGTAGAAAAACAAAGGTCGAAAAGAAATATTGCTTGATGAAGGCTGGGAGGTTAGAAATTAGATGATTTTAGATTGAGTCTAGAAGAGCATATCTAGTCAGTTATTATTATTATGCCTCTAATTAATTTTTCATGTCAAGATGCACATATACAGAGTCATGCAAATTTACATGCTTAGTGTGGTTTTAACATTATCATATAACTGTGTTTCTAGACAACATCAGTTGCACATAACTAGTCTGTTGATTCTCTTAAGTTATACACAAAATTTTAAAAAGATGACTTTTATACCAATGAATGCATATGGCAAGGTTCTTGGATTTTTTGGTGCAGCCACTGAGGCTTGTTGATGCAATTAAAGTAGCCTTGGTACAAGTACATGTCTGCACATTTGACAGCTTTTGCTGCCTAATTGTTGTTGATTTGTTATCTGACATGTGTTCCACATCTGCATTTGCATTACTGCAATCTTATATATACTGTAATAATTTATATTTTAGGGTGAAAGTCATTTTGTAATACTCAAAGTATTGGTATGAAATTCTGCTTTATATTTATTATGTATTTGTTCATCCTTGTCCCCATGATAAACATTTTATATGAAACTTACTGTTATAAATATTATTATTTAACTTTGAGACTTGGTTGAGAAAGTATAAGGAAAGTTAAAAAGTTCAACATTTTCTGCCAGTTTTCCAATTGAAAACCAGACTTTTTACAGAACACATCTAGTTGATTAAATCAAAGTTTGTCAGAGACAACCCAAATAAGATTATGAAGAAAACTGGCAGACCCAGAATACATCAGTGAATGGGATTTTTCCCTGTCCTCTGAACGTTACGTGATATTGTAACAAAATATTATAGTTGTCACACTCCGTGTGCCATTCTAGACTTGTTTTTATACAATTTATATATTTTATTTTACATATTTATTAACACATAAAATCATAATGCTAGATATGCACAAGTAACCACTTGACATAGTGGTATTCATCAGTGGCTTGCATCTGGCATAATTGTTATGGATCTCTCTTTATATTTAAGCATCTTTTTATATTTGATGCCATATATAACTGCATTGTATGATAATCAGGTTTTAGCAAACTACATGTACACAATCTCTATAACAGTTATTATTGTTATTTTAAAGCAGATGACCAATGAAAAACATTTTCTAAAATCAAAATTGGTAGGCTGCCGTTTGGGATTGGTCATGCATAGATACCAGTAGTTCTAGCTAGGAGGGTTCAAAACACATAGAGAGCAGTTGATTACCTATTCTGCAGCTGAAGGTGTGTAATAAGATCCTGCTAGTCACGAGACTGATTAATCTTTGGGTACTGATTTGTTTGTCTGCTCAAACCACAACACAGGTGGTATTTTAGTGCTTTGGTTGGTAAGACATTTATCAACACCTTTCGTTGCCAAATAATAAAATTATGGTTAAACTACTCATAATTGGACATATTGCAGGGTTCAACATTGTGGTGGCTGCGGGTGGGACAACTGAGGGATTGGATTAGCTGCTTATAGTGAAATCAGATGACCCGTTGAGATGTGCTGCACTAAGATAGTGGGGTCCAACTTGGCTGTCAACATGACATTTAAGGTGTTCCAGTCTAAGTTTTGCTTCATAGACGAAGACATAACATTATGGCAACAGCTGGTTGTTAGTTTTCCGTGTTGTATTTTGGGTGTACATCTATTTGCAGCTGTAGTACATCAAACATTTATGCTGAGGCAGAATTCAGGTTGTTGTTTGAAGGTAAAAAAGCCCTTACTTTGGAATGTCAATGGTTCGATTGCAAGCTGAGCCAAGTAACCCCAACTTGAATCTCCCTAGAAAAAGGCACTGGACTGGACAGGTGGGGCAACTTTTTAGGGGAGGGGAAGGGGCGATCGAGCGATGTACCTTAGTGTAAACGCAGTCTTCGACTTCGCATTAACAGCGGGTGACTAAATCTATACTTCCACTTATCTGCACTTTTTTTTTTTGTGACTGCCTATTTATTTTATCCCTATATACAACTGGCACATACATACAGTTATTTCTTCGTGTCAGGTAATACGGGACTGGTTCTCTAGAGCAAATAGATACATAATTTGTCACGGGTATGAATATTACTATATACATGCGCACCAATTAAAAGAATAAAAAGAAAAACTAAAACGGCTTTGCGTTTTGAAACAAATGACTTGTTAGAAATTTTATTTTATTTTCACATGAAAGGCAAATATGTTATCAAGACGGAAAAACATTTACCTCAGTAGTCACAACACTACTATCTAAACGATATATTGCTTTAAAAGTGAAATATGCAATTGTTCATTTGTGGAATTTAAGTCCAAATTGAAGAATCGTTACAGGAATTCTAAGATCAAAATTAAATGACAAATAAACGAGCTGCAATTTGGAGAGACGAACAAGTCTTTAAATCCAAACACGTACATGCACCAGCCGATGATTAATCTAAACGAAACATGACATGTTGTTGGCATAGCATATTGTTTGCTCCTTATTAGCCTAGACCGGTACATGTGGCAGCACATTTGCTATGCATCGCATGTGTGTCTGTGATCAGATGAGCGTGTACAATTCCATATACAGTACAATTCAAAAATAAAAGTTTTGATCAGTTGGATGATACTTGATACATCAATAATAATGATGATAATTGTAATAATAATATTGATTAAAAATTAGCGCAAAAAGCTATTTGTAGGCCAAAGGTGGTCACGCCCTACTGTAAAAGTTTTTGTTTTATTACAAGGTACTTTTATCCACGAAAGTTTCACGACTGGATCGCAAGATTTCTGAAAAAAAAAAAAAAATGCAACCTGGCTTCAGCTAAGTAAACGTTTTCTTTAGAAATTTTCGCAATAAATAATTTGAACAGTAAGTCTTGCTTTACTTACAATTTTGTTAAATATGTAGACTTAAATTAATGATGTAATAAGATGAAATGAAACTAAAAATCTACAGCTTGTCTCGCTACTGTACGTTATATCGGATATTTCGCAAAAATCGAATTTTTAATTATATAAAGTTAATCCACATTGCTTAATGCAACTAAACTGTCCCGCATTATCTAAAAAAAACTAAAAAACAGAAAACAGTGNTTGGCCCTATATCAATTGCATTTTTCACCAAAATCCTGTCAACAGTAAGTTTACTGTTACAGTGTGCAAATGTATTCAGCAAGAATGAAAATGGTATCAAAGAGGCTGCTACTTGTAATATCAATATTTTGGGTCACTTTGACCAAAGTAATTAACTAAGACGAAACTTATCCATTGTAACTGTGACAATTTTTACTATGAAATTCTCACTTTTAGTTTGATAGCATCAACATGTTGGGCATTTGATTTTTTTAGCTTGGAAGCCCTGACAGTTATTGTTAATTTTTACTCTATTTCAGTTAGGTAACCATGACAACCCCAGAATAGCCACCAAGATGGGCCCACAGTTTGTGAATGCACTGAACATGCTGTTGCTGCTACTTCCTGGGACTCCCACTACTTACTATGGAGAAGAACTTGGCATGGAAAATATAGACCAGCCTCAACCCATCAGAGACCCCTTTGGGCTGATGTTTAATGTAAGGGAAATTGGTTCAGAGTCGATAGTCTGATTAGTTTTGATGTTATTATCATCATTTTTGAGTTCATTTCTGAATCTGGGTTTCTTTTGCAGCCCAAATGTTGAATCTACTTTAATTTTGATGTAATGAAAGGTAAACTATTTCCCTACTTTTTAATTAATTGTTGTTTTATTTTATTCTTTATTTTATCTCATTTTATGTATTTATTGGGCCAATTTTGTTGTGAATGTACCCTCACAATATTGGCTGGTTAAAATTATCACTGAATGACATTTAATCACAGAATGAACCAGTCATAATAAATAAAACTGGAAGAAGCTTGCTGATTTTTCCAGGGATTTTTTGCCCATCCAATTTCTTTTTTCACCTTGGTTACTTTTGCATCACATCTCTTACCAGACATTTTAAGTGCACATTGATCCCTAGAAATCCCAATGGAAAATAAGATCATTAATAATGGTATTACTATCTGCTCTCAGCAGTGATATGTATTATACTGGTTGGTCCTGTATTTTAAAAATTTGGTGTTGATTTTAGTGCACCATTTCTCTTCTGTTTTGGCTGAAATGAGGCCAAATCTGCCATTTTGCTCTATAAAAGAGGTGCCATGTCTCACTCCCTCTTTTGGATACAATCATGATTATATTTGCAGCATTGTCCCAATATTTTAACTTGTGATACAATGTTTTAATCATTATCCCAGGACACATCTCGTGATCCAGAACGTTCCCCCATGCAGTGGAGTCGTGGACGCCATGCTGGGTACAGCAATGGTTCCGAGGCTTGGCTTCCAGTTCATCCAAACTACAAGACTGGCTATACTGTAGAAGTAAGTGTGTGAGTGTGTGTGTGTGAAAATTTATTTTATTAGAAAGTGCTGGCTTTAAAAATAAAGGTACTTAGAATAATGTCTTCCATTTCTTTCATAGTACAGTTTTGGATATGCCTAATGATATTGTATTGCAGGACCAGTTAAAGGACCCAGAATCCCACCTCAGTGTCTACATGTCACTTGTCAGACTGCGTCAGGAGTACGCTTTCCTCTATGGCAACTTCCACTATGCCATCATTGATGATAAAATCTTCTCCTTTGTAAGAGAATGGCCAGGAAGTGTGGGACAACCAGTGTAAGTGGTTTGCTTTGCATTGATTGAAAAGTCCACAGCAATGCACCCTTTTTATACAGAATGTAAAAAGAAATAGAACTGAAATGTAATCAAAGGTTAAAGGGCAAAATGAATTAATAATAAGCTAAAATAAAGCTGCAACAAAATTATTAAAAATCTGTGAGTAAAATGAATTTTATTTGATAAAGAATTCATTATTGGAGGTTAACAAAATGGTTCTTAACAAAAAATAAATATTAAAATTGTACAAAAAACGTGTTTTTTTTTCTCTCGTTCCAGTTACCTTATTGCCATCAATTTTGGCAACGAGACTTGCCTGACTGACTTCACACTCTCTGCCAGGTTTCATGTCCCCAAGAAAGGCTACGTCATCGAAAACACCAGGCAGAATATTTCAGAGAAACTGGCCATCGGAAAGAAGATAAAGTTAAACCAAGTGGAATTGGAGCCAGGCCAGGGTATTGTTGTGCAGTGGTATGTTTGGAGATCCAGACTGGATGCTTTTATGGACTACATAATCGGGATATTCTATAAGAAACCAAAGAAGAAAATGGCTTTTTATCAAAATTACAAAAAGGAGCCAATCGCTACTGATTTGAATAACCCATTAAAGGTTAAAAAGCATGCAGAAAACATGCTCCATCAAGCTCAGGAGGCTAAGAATGCACTTAATACCATGGTAGATATCATTGGTCAAAATAAGGCAGATAGAAAACATGACAGCATAGGTTATGTCCCAGTTAGCTCAAATTTTACAAGCTACAAAACGAAAAAAGAGCAGTCTAGTAGTATAGAGGCACAGGGTCAGAAAAGGGCAGTCCATAAGAACAATATTCAGGTTTCTGATAAAACTAGCCACTCCAGGAATGCATTGGATGTGAAAGGTTATCAACACTCAGATGACTCCAACAAGGACAAGGGTCGTGAAAGTAAGGCCAGTGGAACTCAAGATTCTGATAAAATTCTCAAAATGAGAGCTGTAGAAAAACAAAGGTCGAAAAGAAATATTGCTTGATGAAGGCTGGGAGGTTAGAAATTAGATGATTTTAGATTGAGTCTAGAAGAGCATATCTAGTCTTCTATTTTCAGTTATTATTTTTATGCCTCTAATTCATTTTTCATGTCAAGATGCACATATACAAAGTTGTGCAAATTTACATGCTTAGTGTGGTTTTAACATTATCATATAACTGTGTTTCTAGACAACATCAGTTGCACATAACTAGTCTGTTGATTCTCTTAAGTTATACACAAAATTTTAAAAAGATGACTTTTATACCAATGAATGCATATGGCAAGGTTCTTGGATTTTTTGGTGCAGCCACTGAGGCTTGTTGATGCAATTAAAGTAGCCTTGGTACAAGTACATGTCTGCACATTTGACAGCTTTTGCTGCCTAATTGTTGTTGATATGTTATCTGACATGTGTTCCACATCTGCATTTGCATTACTGCAATCTTATATATACTGTAATCAGTTATATTTTAGGGTGGAAGTCATTTTGTAATACTCAAAGTATTGGTATGAAATTCTGCTTTATATTTATTATGTATTTGTTCGTCCTTGTCCCCATGATAAACATTTTATATGAAACTTACTGTTATAAATATTATTATTTAACTTTGAGACTTGGTTGAGAAAGTATAAGGAAAGTTAAAAAGTTCAACATTTTCTGCCAGTTTTCCAATTGAAAACCAGACTTTTTACAGAACACATCTAGTTGATTAAATCAAAGTTTGTCAGAGACAACCCAAATAAGATTATGAAGAAAACTGGCAGACCCAGAATTCATCAGTGAATGGGATTTTTCCCTGTCCTCTGAATGTTACATGATATTGTAACAAAATTTTATAGTTGTCACACTCCGTGTGCCATTCTAGACTTGTTTTTATACAATTTATATATTTTATTTTATATATTTATTAACACATAAAATCATAATGCTAGATGTGCACAAGTTACCACTTGACATAGTGGTATTCATCAGTGGCGTGCATTTTGCATAATTGTTATGGATCTCTCTTTATATTTAAGCATCTTTTTATATTTGATGCCGTATGGAACTGCATTGTATGATAATCAGGTTTTAGCATACTATGTGTACACAATCTCTATAACAGTTAAAAAGTATTCTCTATTGTAATTTTTAAACAATGAATAACTTTTTTTAAAAATCAAAATTGGTAAGCTGCCGTTTGGGATTGGTCATGCATAGATACCAGTAGTTCCAGTAGCTAGCAGGGTTGAAAACACATAGGAGTTAATTAACTGTTCTGCAGCTGAAGGTGTATAAAAAGATCCTGCTAGTCATGAGACTAATTAATCTTTGGGTACTGATTTGTTTGTCTGCTCCAACCGCAAAACAGGTGGTATTTCAGTGTTTTGGTTGGTAAGACATTTATCAACACCTTTCGTTGCCAAAAAATAAAATTATGGTGAACTATTCATAATTGGACATATTGCAGAGTTCAACATTGTGGTGGCTGTGGGTGGGACAACAGAGGGATTAGATTAGCTGCTTATGGTGAAATATTTGCAATCAGGTGGGCCGTTGAGATGTGCTACACTAAGGTAGTGCGGTCCAACTTGGCTGTCAACACGACATTTAAGGTGTTCCAGTCTAAGTTTTGCCTCATAGACGAAGACATAACATTATGGCAACAGCTGGTTGGTAGTTTTCCGTGTTGTATTTTGGGTGTACATGTATTTGCAGCTGTAGTACATCAAACATTTATGCTGAGGCAGAGTTCAGGTTGTTGTTTGAAGGTAAAAAAGTCCTTACTTTGGGATGTCAATGGTTCGATTGCAAGCAGAGCCAGGTAACCCCAACTTGAATCCCTTTAGAAAAAGGCAGGACTCTTTGCAGAGACTGGACAGGTGGGGCAACTTGGTGATTTTTAGGTGAGGGGGGGGGGGCGTTCGAGCGGTGTACTCTAGTAGAAACTAGTGTAAACGCAGTCTTCCACCTCACTGTAACAGCAGGTGACTAAATGTCTACTTCCACATATCTGCACTTTGTTTTTGCGATAGCCTATTTAATTTATCCTTATCGACAACTCGCTGGCACATACATATATTTATTTCTTCGTGTCAGGTAATACCGGACTGGTTCTCTTGAGCAAATAGATATAATTTGTCACGAATATGAATATTTCTGTGTACATGCGCACCAATTAAAAGAATAAAAAGAAATAAACAAACGAAAACGGTTTGCGTTTTGCAACAAATTACTTGTTAGAATTTTTTTTTTTATTTTCACATGAAAGGCAAATATGTTATCAAAAACATCATTTACCTCAGTAGTCACAACACTACTATCTAAACGATATATTGCCTTAAAAGTGAAATATGCAAATGTTCGTTTATGGAATTTTCAATTCCAAATTTAAAAATCGTTACATGAATTCTAAGGTCAAAATTTATTGACAAGTAAACGAGCTGCAGTTTGGAGAGACGAACAAGTCTTTAAATCTAAGCACGTACATGCACCAGCCGATGATTAATCTAAACGAAACATGGCATGTTGTTGGCATAGCATATTGCTTGCTCTTTATTAGCCTAGACCGGTACATGTGGCAGCGCATTTGCTATGCATTGCGTGTGTGTCTGTGATCAGATGAACGTGCACAATTCCATATAGGCCTACACAAGATATGAAAGTACAGCACAAAAATAAAGGTTTTGACCAGTTGGATGTTACTTGCTACATCAATAATAATGATAATAATTGTAATAAAATTGTAATAATAATAATAATGATTAAAAATTAGTGCAAAACGCTATTTGTAGGCCAGAGGTGGTCACATCCTACTGTAAAAGTTATTGTTTTATTACAAGGCATTTTTATCCACGAAAGTTTCACGACTAGATCGCAAGATTTCTTTAAAAAAATGCAACCTGACTTCAGCTATGTAAATTTTTTCTTTAGGAATTTTTGCAGTAAATAATTTGAACAGTAAGTCTTGCTTTGCTTACAATTTTGTTAAATATGTAGGCTTAAATTAATGACACAATAAGATGAAATGAAACCAAAAACGTTATATCGGACATTTCGCAAAAATCGAAATTTTGATTATATAAAGTTAATCCACGTTGCTTAATGCAACTTAACGACTAAAATGTCGCGCATTATCTAAATAAACTAAAAAACAGAAAACAGCGCGGCAACTATTCCTAAGTAGGACACTATCGCCATTGACCGAAGACAATTTTCGCTGTTTGAAGGTTGATCATGAATTGTTTTTCCACCGTAGGGCGGTGTGTATACTGGCGGTCTCTTGGAATCGCTTGAGTATCCATCTAGAAATTTTGCATATTTGTCAGTTCCAAGCTTTGTTTCCATATACGCTTTGTTCCGAATGCTGCCAATTTGGTGGTCAATGATGTGTCCGTTGCCTTGGAAACGGTTGTCACGTGTATCACCTGTCATCCAATGAGGAGGCATGTATTCACTGTGAAACGGTGCGCTCAAAGGAGGGGAAATGACGTCGGTTGGAAGTGAATTAGGATGTGTCTTACTTTTGAAGGGATAAGTTCCATGCTTGTGTGCCCACGTCTCGGATTTTAGCTCGTCCAGGATTTCTAGGCCACGTGGTTTAGAAATTTTATTTATTATCAATCCTCTCCAAGAATCCAGTGTCATCTCATCTTTTGGGACTGGAACAGACAGAAGTCAAAATGACATTAATTGACCTGATGTTATATGCTGAGATCAATCTAGGCATGGCACCATGTTATTTATATTTTACCTGGGTCAACGGTAGAAGGGCACGTTTAATGAATGCGATGTTCAAAGAGAATACGAAGAAACAAAATTTAGTTTGTGCAGCAAAGTTTTATTTCATTCATAAATAAAATAAATACATGTAGATATAAACGAAAAATGAAAAACGACATGAGTATGATTTAACGCTGTTTCATTTTGTTTAGCGGTTGTCATCTGCAGAAGAATACACATTTGAGGCGTGCACCTCTTTGGCAACGTACACATTAAATTTTTTTTTATTAAAATTCGGTGCGAGAAGCATGCTTACTCATTGGTCCTCCATTGCAGCCGTCGCTGTCACACATACACCAAGTCTGATCGTTGTACGTTCTACATCCGGGTTCCATCACTCTATCAGGGAGGTAGAACCCCAGAGAACAACCACGGAACACAACTGTAATAAATGGAGCTTTCTAGGTAATAGGATGTACATACTGTTTTTTTTTTAACTTGACACGTATTATTGGTTGATATGCATTAGAAATTCCTAGGAGGCCAGGAAATTGTGTTCTTTTTAAAATCAATATCCCGAAAACGCCCCGGTTAATCTACCCCTTTAACTCATTTGGCGATAATCGATTTCTCTTTTTTTACAGATTTTTTCATCTGTTATTATATATTTATCAATAAACCGCCATATTTTAAGAATTATTATTTTGGCGACATTTAATCTTATTCTATAAAGTTCCAATTCATTAGAACCGTGCTTAATCGCATAGAACACTGGAAACGCATTCTATCATGTTTTATTTATTTATTTATTTATTTTTATTTTTTTTTTTTTTTAGTTCTTTGAATCTACAATCAGACATAAAAAACGGATTAACATAAATTATAATATAGCAGAATTACTGGGGGTATACTGGTACGAGATCGAATTTGGGATAACTTTTGAGACCATATTACGTTTACCTTCTGGATTGCCTTTATCCCTCCTAATAAAGCATAGACCGCTACAGTAGCTGGCAGTCAGGAGCTCGGTGTTAACAAAGCCGTTACCTGGGCAGTTCTCCTGGGCCCAGGCATTTAGACGGCTATTAAAACACATGTAGCAATCTACGGATAACACTGGAAATGCAAAAGAGATTATGAGACTAGAGATAAGAAGTAAATGAATAGGTAAACAAACAAGCAAACAATGAAATAAATAAATAAATATTCATTGACTCTGCTGCAGAGAGAAATAAAAATTAACTTCTACAATGTTGGAATCATATATTAATAGCATTGAAAGTGGTTGTCTGGTCAATACTGATGATTGCATATTTGACAAATATTTTTTTTAAATTTCATTGTTTTCGCAGTAGGCTATATTTATCGTATATACACCCATGAAAACCGGAGCAGAATAGAAGAATATGTTATGCTAAAATAGTTGACCATATCATTAATTTCCACTGACATGGTACATAATATTCAGTGCACATTGCTGTGACTTTTTTAGCATTGAAAAGTACAGCCCGTTAGCATAATCATTTATCACTAATTGCTTTGCACTAACTGACCTGCGCACATTATAAATCTTACTTAATTATAAAGAAATGTTTGCTCAAAACATGTATACGCCTTGTTAAACTTCAAAAACCGACTTCTGAGGCATCCATCATTATTCTCTAATGCGATTACGTGAGGCGGCTATTTCTACAAGTTGAATTTACATATCTGATCTTTTCATGTATTTAAAGCTTGGCATAAATTCGACTTTCATTTCCTCACATAAGGCCTAGTCATGATTTCTAAACAAAGCAAAAACTTGTTTTCTATTGAGTATGGATACTTACTAGTACTTACTAGTAGGCCTATTTAGTGTATCCCTTCATCTCCATTTACAATATCCCTTGTCCTTAGTAACTGATATTACAATTTCCGTCTTTGTTATAAATAATTTTCTTACCTACGACAGGAAATGTAGTAATGCCTCCAATAATCAGGAAAGCGTGAAACAGAGTAACCATCGTTGTTGCCATTTGCTAGCGTTTTCTTTCCGAGCGTTTGTTAGCGCATCTCTAGTTCAGTCGCAACTGGACTTGGGAGGGACGTCATGGACGACATACGTTTGTCATGTAATTACAACATTTTCACCCTGGGTTACACGTCCTAGTGCAGCCTCACGTAGCCGCTGTATGAAACTTGGTAAAATAAGCTGTAATTGTTTTTTTTTTCCTAGGAAAAATTCAAAAGTATACTTGCAGGCCCCTATGCGCATTTAACATGTATTCCAAGGCAAAGCATACGAGAACGCGACAGTCAAGCTTTAGACTGAATTAGAAGGTCTGTAGGTTGTGAAGAAAAATGCGATTCTAGAACAAATTGTCACACCACCTGTGGCAACTAATTTACACAGGGAGGAAGGGCCATCGGTGATAAAAACATCATCTTTTCAAGTCTGCTGCAACGCCAGTGGCTTTGCAACATCTGTGTTGTACTTCACAAATTTACGCGTGCCATCTGTGGCAAGTTTATTTTCGAAAAAAAAAAAAAAAAAAAAAAAGTTATTCGGGTCACCCTCTTGGATGCCTCCCCCCTCCTAGAGCAACTTAGAAGACAAACAAAGATTTATAAATCATTTATAATTTTGTCAATAGTTTGCGGTCATGATACAGATTCTAAAGGGAAAATATAGGGCCTACATTTAGGGAGGTCTATTGCCTGAAAAGATTTCAATGAAAATCAATTTTTATTTCATAATTTTTTACATTTGTTTTTAAAAGTATGGCATTAAATAACTTTACAAAAGCGCTTAATTTTATCAATTCCAGCCCTTCCTTTTCTCGTCGGCCTTCTTCAGATCTAACAACCTGTACTTCTTTCTTTTCTTTCTCCTTTCTCCCCCAATTTATTATTTTATTTGTCCACAAAATGTAACATTTTCAATCTATACAGAGATTTTGTTACACGAAGCATACGGGGGGTTATAAATATATGATATCAAACATAACAGTAGATATAACGAGATATAATATCGTGTTTTAAAATACACATCTTTGTACTTGATAAGCAAAAAATCGATTTTGGCTTGTCTTGGACCACCACGATCTCGCAAATTCTCGTTCGCTCACCTTTGCCAACAACCACGCTCAAGGTCGAAATATGGTATGCTTTACATACTTTTGATTGTTGCGCATTATCTTCATGTATGAATGTCAGAAAAACGATAGTATTTAAAAAAGAAATGGAATCATTTACCTACTTGGTGTTCTTTTGAAATGTAGCATTGCATGACTTAGCAAAAATCTGGTCAAACAAAAGCTGATTTGTCTTGTTACCCGTTACCCGCTTTCACCCCTCCACGTTTTCAGCGGTTGCAATTTTGCCTTGGCGTAGTTAGATTATTTTTGCAATGTCTCATATTTTGGCAGTAAATTATAATATGTCGTAGTGTGTTAAATGGTAGAAGAAGTGGGAAGAATGTTGGTTGATATATGAGGTATAATCATAATGGGTTCAATCACAACTACAGTGTAAAATACCATATAAGGGTTTACCACGTCACTTTTTATTTACATCAAATATATCGAGGTGGTAGGTTATTTTAAGGGATTATCGCGCCAAATCATTTTACTCTGATTTTCTTGCCTCACCATCTTATGTTATATGCACACATTTATTTATGACGATAGTTTTGAATTTCTCAAAGGTATATTTAAGTGATGGTTTACATGTATGTGTATGTGTGTTACTTGCAATGTGTGCATGTAGCCTAAGCCTTCTTGTCTAAATTCTGATATTGTTGCATGTGATAAATGCGTTCTTAAATCAAATGAAGCTTTACTTTATAGAATACAGTTCGAAATTTAATTTTATTTCATTAAAAATTATTTCAGGCAGGAAAGCAAAAACTTGGGTTTGCAGAAAATTTTGCTTTGGGTGGTCTGGCAGCTGTCATATCCAAGACAGTAGCTGCTCCTCTGGAACGTGTTAAACTTCTCCTCCAAAACCAAGATGAAATGATCAAGGCTGGTCGGCTGGATAAACCTTACAATGGGATGATCGACTGCACAAAACAGATCTACTATAATGAGGGCGTTATCCCATTCTGGCGTGGTAATGTTGCAAATTGCATCCGTTACTTCCCAACCCAGGCGTTGAACTTTGCCTTCAAGGATAAGATTCATTTGTTGTTCAAAGATTCTCCAACTGATACGTATGCCTGGAAGTTCACGAAGAACATATTCTCTGGGGGTGTGGCTGGTGGCATGTCCCTGTGCGTCGTGTATTCTCTAGATTACGCCAGAACGAGGTTAGCTAATGATGCTGTCAAGGAAGGAAGCGAAAGACAATATAAGGTAAATATTAGTACATTCTTTGGGCCCTTTTCATATTTCAACTCAGACCTATCCTTTTACGGTGAACATCATAGCTAAGGGAGTGACATTTTGACTTGCAAACTGAAACTGGATTTTGAACTAGNCCAAAATTTCCGCCGCCCACTTGTGGGAAGTTTTTTTTCCCAAAAAAAAAAAAAAAAAAAAAAAGTTATTCGGGTCACCCTCTTGGATGCCCCCCCCCCCCCTCCTTGAGCAACTTAGAAGACAAACAAAGATTTATAAATCATTTATAATTTGTCAATAGTTTGCGGTCATGATACAGATCCTAAAGGGAAAATATAGGCCTATATAGGGCCTACATTTACTAGTAGGTAGGTCTATTGCCTGAAAAGATTTCAATGAAAATCAATTTTTATTTTATAATTTTTTTACATTTGTTTTTAAAAGTATGGCATTAAAGGTACATACGAACCGAGCATCGGTGGAGCGTGGATTCCCAGTAAAACATGTAAACCACTTCTACTAGTTTCTTATATGACTCTAATAAATTCGACATGCCAAGGGATAAACTGAATAAATCACCTGATCAGCCATAAAAGGGCTTTAGAGTGCTCCTTTCTTTAAATTTTTGGTTGTCAATTTAACCTACTTTTGTGACCTACTTTTCTGCCCCATTGACATACAGCATAGAATGCTAGCAGAAAAATCTGTTCAAACATCACTTTCGGGTAAAATTAAACAATGCCTTTTGGTAATTCTCTTAGTTATACTACTTGAAACTATATGCTGGCATTTGGTTAGTTTTTATGACAAAAAATTGACTTTGTATGTATCTTTAAATAACATTACAAAAGCGCTTAATTTTATCAATTCCAGCCCTTCCTTTTCTCGTCGGCCTTCTTCAGATCTAACAACCTGTATTTTTTTCTTTTCTTTCTCCTTTCTCCCCCGATTTATTATTTTATTTGTCCACAAAATGTAACATTTTCAATCTATACAGAGATTTTGTTACACGAAGCAGTGGAAGATTTTTTTTCTTTTCTTGGGGGGGGGGGTATAAATATATGATATCAAACATAACAGTAGATATAACGAGATATAATATCGTGTTTTAAAATACACAACTTTGTACTTGATAAGCAAAAAATCGATTTTGGCTTGTCTTGGACCACCACGATCTCGCAAAATCTCGTTCGCTCACCTTTGCCAACAACCACGCTCAAGGTCGAAATATGGTATGCTTTACATACTTTTGATTGTTGCGCATTATCTTCATGTATGAATGTCAGAAAAACGATAGTATTTAGAAAAGAAATGGAATCATTTACCTACTTGGTGTTCTTTTGAAATGTAGCAGTGCATGACATAGCAAAAATCTGGTCAAACAAAAGCTGATTTGTCTTGTTACCCGTTACCCGCTTTCACCCCTCCACGTTTTCAGCGGTTGCAATTTTGCCTTGGTGTAGTTAGATTATTTTTGCAATGTCTCATATTTTGGCAGTAAATTATAACATGTCATAGTGTGTTAAATGGTAGAAGAAGTGGGAAGAATGTTGGTTGATATATGGGTATAATCATAATGGGTTCAATCACAACTAAAATACCATATAAGGGTTTACCACGTCACTTTTTATTTACATCAAATATATCTAGGTGGTAGGTTATTTTAAGGGATTATCGCGCCAAATCATTTTACTCTGATTTTCTTGCCTCACCATATTATGTTATATGCACATTTATTTATGACGATAGTTTTGAATTTCTCAAAGGTATATTTAAGTGATGGTTTACATGTATGTGTGTTACTTGCAATGTGTCTGAGCCTTCTTGTCTAAATTCTGATATTGTTGCATGTGATAAATGCGTTCTTAAATCAAATGAAGCTTTACTTTACAATTTTATTTCATTTAAAATTATTTCAGGCGGGAAAGCAAAAACTTGGGTTTGCAGAAAATTTTGCTTTGGGTGGTCTGGCAGCTGTGATATCCAAGACAGTAGCTGCTCCTCTGGAACGTGTTAAACTTCTCCTCCAAAACCAAGATGAAATGATCAAGGCTGGTCGGCTGGATAAACCTTACAATGGGATGATCGACTGCACAAAACAGATCTACTATAATGAGGGCGTTATCCCATTCTGGCGTGGTAATGTTGCAAATTGCATCCGTTACTTCCCAACCCAGGCGTTGAACTTTGCCTTCAAGGATAAGATTCATTTGTTGTTCAAAGATTCTCCAACTGATACGTATGCCTGGAAGTTCACGAAGAACATATTCTCTGGGGGTGTGGCTGGTGGCATGTCCCTGTGCGTCGTGTATTCTCTAGATTATGCCAGAACGAGGTTAGCTAACGATGCTGTCAAGGAAGGAAGCGAAAGACAATATAAGGTAAATATTAGTACATCCTTTGGGCCCTTTTCATAATTCAACTCAGACCTATCCTTTTACGGTGAACATCATAGCTAAGGGAGTGACATTTTGACTTGCAAACTGAAACTGGATTTTGAACAAGTACCTCTCTTAAAATTACTCCATCAAAATAGTTGTATTATTCATTTAAGAGGAGTGCTTCAGATACAGCTGAGACATGAAATTTGAGATAAATATGTGCTTCATTGTAAGAAAAAAGTGAACAAAAGCAACCTAGTGCTCTGATGTAATATCATGTATACAGACAGGTTGGAGTCTTCTTAGACAGGAAATGTGTAATGAATCAGTATCAGTCAGTAAAAAGCTTTCCAGTCCTATATTTGCTTGCATTTGCACTGGTCCTAGTATGAATGTAGCAAAGATTTCATCTTCAAGTAAAGCTTATTTGTTGAAGTCATCAGTTAAGTTGAAATTAACTTTAGTTAAAGTAAAAGGAATTTGCTTTTTTTTCTCTTGTTAATCTGTTTAAAAATGCTCAAAGATGCTGTTGTTTAACAATTTAAATGTTTAGTTTTAGTGTTACAGTTAGCCCTGCTGCTACAGTTATTTGGCACATCAATTTTGAAAAAACATGACGCATCCATTTGACTTTCAGTTAAATGTAATATAGTAACCATATTCTGTTGCTTGTTTCAGAACTTGAGGGATGTGTACAAGCAAACACTGAAAACTGATGGAATCCGTGGTCTCTACCGTGGATTTGGCGTGTCAGTAGTGGGTATCATGGTGTACCGTGGCTTCTACTTTGGTCTCTACGATAGCTTCAAACCCATCCTCCTCAGCCCTGATGCAGGATTCCTCCTGAGATTTGGCGTGGCCTACTGTGTGACTATAGCTGCCACCATGCTGTCCTATCCATTCGACACAATTAGGAGGCGGATGATGATGAAGTCAGGTAGAGGGTAGACCCAGGAAAAACTTAGATTAGGCTTGTCTTGAAACTACTGATGCTAGTTTTATCCGTTTCACTCTGATTCTATCTTCCAAAGGGGAGTGAGTTTTTTCCCCAGTGACAAAAGCTTGTGAAAAGTATGAACATGTCTATTGATTCCCTCACTGGCTATTCACATGCAGATAACTTCAAACTGGTCTATGTAACTTGAATGTAAAATACATTTTCACCACAGAATTGTTGCAAAAAGACATCAAAATGTAAAGAAAAAAAAATGACCCAACAAATTTTCGTTCCAAGTCGATATTCCTTGTAGTATTTCAGGAACTGCTGAAATGTGATTGATATGAAGTACACCAGTGCGTTCTGGTTAGATGTGCATCTTGAAGTTGAAAGTTGTTCCGTTATTTCAACAAATGCATAAAACACTACACAACCTGGCATGTGTGTAAAGGAATTTTCCAGCACGTAATAATGGGCTCACTATGGTTTATTTTAGCCAAACATATTCAAGCATTGATTCAATATTTTATGATTTATAAAATTCCAGGTGAGGCTGTGAAATACAAGAGTTCATTCGATGCGGCCAGGCAGATTATCAAACACGAGGGCATACAGTCCTTCTTCAAAGGCAACCTGGCCAATATCTTGCGTGGTGTGGCATGTGCTGGAGTGCTCGCTGGCTACGACATGTTTGAGAAATGGTGGATAGCTTATAGGTTTGGAGATATGGCCTCTTAGGTAGCAGGTATGTGCTACAGCTATGAAAAATTCAATATTTTAATAACAGTTCCTTGTAATATTGATTCCAGTATTCTTTAGATGAAAACATTTTGGTGAGTAACTGAAAAACGAAAAATTAAAATCTTACAATAAGTGAAGCTAAAATGTAATTTTATATATGTAGATGTGATTTTATATATATATATATATATATGTAATATTTTTTTTTTTTCAGTAACAAGCGGGTGAATCGGTGAAGCAAAGGTTTTTACTTGTTCAGTCACTGACTGATACAGGGAAAGCAACAAGATTTTCACTTATTATAATTCATGACGGAAGTGTTAAATGTTAGTGCAGGAATGTTTACAGACTAGTAATAGTTACAAGTTCTAGAAAAAATGCCACTGTAAAAAGTGCAAATCTAATAATTTCTTTGATGATATATATATCTGTAGTCATCAATGTTGGGAAGCCTTTCTATTTATTTATTTATTTATTTATTTAATTATTTATTCATTTGTTTGTTTTTTTGATAATCAGCTTCTGTGTGTGTGCACTGCTAATTACAAGATTTTTCCTTAATTATAAACTAACACATTGATATGACACAAACATATATTGATGCAGTATTAAGAACAGTCATTGTATCATAGAGTATAGAGATGCTGATTACAAGAGTGCTTGCTGCTAATTTATCTTTTAAGAATAAAGTTATAGTTTTTTGGCAAAATTTGTTTAAGACTAAGGCCGCATTCACATCAAGTTGAGCCGTGGCTCTACCAAGCCATGACCTAAATATGGCGGACGTACATGAAAGGAAAACCGCCTAATCTTTTAATAGTCTCTCCGCCTCTCACACGCCTCCCTATCGTCCCAATGGAGCCGAGATTTAATGACTGTACTCCCCCTTGAATATGTACATCCGCCCTATTTAGGTCTTGTCCTTGTAGAGCCTCGGCTCTTCTCAGTGTGAATGTGGCCTAAGTGTCAGAAAGTATTTTGATACCAGCAAAACATTTCTTTCAAGAATAAAATAGACAATTTCACCTTGAATCTGAGAAGTACTCTCAAAATATGTCTCTCCTTGGTAGAGCCTAGCCCCCCCCCGCCCCCCCTCCCCCCACTCCATAATCATAATTGACCTTTAAATATCAAAATAAAGCAAAATGCTCGGGATCTCTTTTGAAAATTTTTTCTAAACTGTCAGTTAAATCACAATATGAGGTAAAAGGATTGTAAAGAATCTGGATGAAAAACTAACTTAGTGGCTATTATGGCAATATATCTCCCTATCCATGGAAGTATACTTCTGTGGTGGCTGCTAACTGACCATTTGGCCTCTGGGTGGACTCTCTAACACAATTAGAAAAGTGCAGCAGACGCAATTGACTACACTTCCATACTAATTCCATGTTATTGTCAACCACTTATGTAGTTCGGATCAGCTGCATGGAAAACTTTTATGGTCTTAAAATGATTAATGTTGTGTACTGGTGGGATGATTGCAGCAATGGAAAAAACAAACAAATTATGCTCAGCTTAATGTTGGTATATATATTCGATGATGACAATGAATTTTCAAATTAGTTTTGTAGTAATTAATTTTTTTTCTTTTTGAACATTCAAATGGTCCTTTTGCAGGGTCAGTAGTATCGGGAACATTGGTTGTAAAATTTTAGTTTGATGGGAAATTGTGGTGGCGAACTGCTTAAATTTTGAAATTCAAACGGCAATGCCTTTATTATATGTGGCGGCTTAGGGAGAACAGCGACACGTCATATGTTTGTATTGTACATGTAAGACCATAGAGGTGGGTTTCTACTGACCTCTGAGTCTCGAAGTGCATGGGGGTGCGTGTTTATATTATGGAACTTAGTTTATACAAAATCATTCTGATGTTTTTCCTCGGTATGTGTGACATTTTGCTGAGCATCGCTCTTTGTCGTATTGACACAATAGTCACTTTGTTCACGCTGTATTTTCGCAGTTCCTATAATAAAATCTAGAGGAAAAATTGTCTGTGTTTCTGCTTTTGTTTTGCTATTGAACCTCCGTTTACTCTTGAACTTCATTCCATATAAATGACATTTTCATTGTGCTCTTAGTGAGGCACTCCAAGTATAAAGCTTAAAATCGTGAGAGAGAAGTAGCTGAGACCTTGATGGGTGTAGCTTTGAAATCAATGGCACTATGATCAGTTTGCTTTGCCTCGGTGCTGTAACTTTTTTTCAGGTTCCATGGTTAGGCCTACAATCAGTGTTAGAAATTAAGGCTGGACCGTCTGCCCGGGGCTGACAACTTTCAGAACGGGCTGAGAAGTTTTCCCACCCGGCAGACATTCAGTCCAGCTACTTTTCAAAATGGCTGGACTTTCGGTCCAGCAACTTATTTTCCTAAGAGGCAAACACTGCCTACAATGAAGCATGTTGTATCTGGAAAACTTACTGGGTCATAAAGATCAGTGAAGTGGTTATTAAAGATTAACGACTTTGTACTGTTGACGATCTAAGTGCGACACGTTTCAATGGTAGACTACTAGTAGAAACACATTGCGCATATAGCGTGTTGGCTCCTATATAGGGACCTTTATCTTATTTTCTTAGTGATATTTGTTCTAAAATTAAAATTTGAATTAAAGATTGCCTTCCTTTTTGTCCCTTGTTTTACGATCATAACACGTTTTATCCAATTGTAAATCCAATACTGAAAACAAAAAATGTGCTTTAAGTACGAGAACAATAATATGCAACACGTGCACACCAACGTGCACTCTGAATCCCCAATAAATTTTCAATGTGTAAATAGTAATAAATTGTAGTAACGCACCTTGGCTTGGTTATTTCAAAATCGAACATTGAAGGTGAACCATAGACGGACGATACGCACATAACTGCCTCTTTTTCGAGGGGTATATATTTCATTGATTTTTTAATCGATCCTGCACTTAACGAAGTGGATGAGACTTGTCACCCTGTTAGGTTGATGTGAATTTCCTCTTGTTTAAATTCTCTCATTAGAAGTGTGTTAATAACCGTAATTCTATACGTTACACTACAGACATCAATGTATTACAAACGTTTGCTTGGACTCAAAGACCCCATTTCCAGAAATTAGATCGATCTACTTTAGATCGACCTAACTCCCTGGGGGTTCACGCTAAATAGCTGTCAGCCGAGCGGACACGAAAGTTAATTACCCCCTTACAGCTTGTAGTAGGCGGGACGGACATTTAAGCCGGATTATCTGACAGTAATCTAGTGAGACTCCCCGCGGGGATAGATCGATCTAAAAGCTCAGGGAATACAGCCAAAGACATGGCATACAGTAGCACTTTTGCTATACACGTCAATGTCGATGTAACGAATGCCTGTCTTCTTTCTTCACTTGATGCTGAAGTTATTAAAAAAATTAAAGTTTACAAATTAGCTGATTGCTTTCTTAATGTCAAGATTTTGTCAAAGTAAAAAACACCGTTCATTGTTAATAGTTTAATGTTTACAGCAGTTAGAATTCCCCAACACTACAAAACGTCGGGATCTGAATAAAAAGGAAAAAAAAACACGATAAAATTCGGAAGCTGGTTCTTACTCGTAGTGTCAATCTCTCTGCATAACAGAGGACCATGCCACACAACCCAATCCTGCTAGGGATTACGCTTGGCCAATGTCGGGTTGTCTCATCCTTCTGTAAGCCAGCTCACAGTGTTGCACTAAGATATAACACGCATAATATTGTCGATGTTTCAAGTGTTTTCGGATTTCAATTTTGAGTTGAACTGTGATTTTGTAACTTTTAAGAGCGGGAAATAAATATTATTAGTTTAAAAATTAACTGCCGGTATAAGTTACTGGAATTCTTATCCTGCCTGATACGTTATGTTTGACTGGTCGGCTCATGCCTAAGGACCTGTTCAGAACCGGTCATGGCGTACACTTGAAAATTAATTCCCGCCTCCTACGCGCGCCGTCCCTGCAGAGGCAGAGCAATTGAATCTCGGCATGCTTTCAAGTGGGCGCGCCATGTTGTATCCGAGGAGTAGTTTGTCCACGAATCAACTGGTCCTTAGCAGGTCCTTAGTTGAAACCTCTTCATCAAAATAACGCGAATCAGAGCTGAAAACCTGCAGTGAGACCTTTTTTCTTTGGCGGCGTCTCTTGCTGCAGGAGCGAATTATGTTTAACTGCTTAGGTCTCTCGCCTAAGGGACCATTCAGATCGAGAAGGGCCGAGGTCTAGCTAGGCCGCGACCTAAATATGGCGGACCTACATGAAAGGAAGACTGCTTAATCCTTTAATGGTCTCTTGTATTTGTATAGTCCGTAAAATTGTTACATTTACCGGCGACTGTTGCAATCATACTATTCTTCGTATTTTTTTACTCCTGCCTGAAATAATTATTGTCTAAAAACGACCACAAAATTGATTTTGCAAAACACTCACTGAATTGAGTTTTTGCCTTTCTGCCAATAATGCAGCGACATGAGTGTTATTTTGTTTTTCTACAGGTAGGTCATGCCTTACAGCTAATCCACTAATAGAAGCTTTTATCTTTTAGGCATAGATGCAGATGTGTTTTTCAATGGAAACAAAAAGCAATCATAGTGATTTATCCACAATCAATTTTATGCAAGGTGTTTTTAGACTCAGTGCTGTATGCATTGTACATTTGGGTTACTGTTGATGTGTGCGGGTTTATTACATTTATAGCAAACATCTATGACTGCTAGTGATTGAGGCTGCTGGTTACTGTTTTTTGTTTTTACTTTTTTTACAAAAATAAAAAAAATTCACCACAAACTATTAAAAAATGTACAATTCTGGGTGAATTTTTACTTAATTCTGTTCAATTCAGTAATGCATCTTCGCAGAGATTACACCCCAAATCCCTAATATCATACATGCAGAATTTTCATGAAATTCAGCATGTTAGATTAATTACAAAAGTATATAGAAACAATCATTTTACGAAGCCGATTTTGTGGCGAGCTAAAACGAGTTATTGAATTGAACAGTTCTCAACCATTTATTCGTCCGAAATCAATTTAACACGTGGGGCATTTTTTGCTCTTATTGAGCCACTCTTACCTTACAAATAAAATATTAATCATTGGAATTAAACACATTTCTTTTAGCTCTTTTAACATGTTATCAATATCTGGTTGCATTGATATCCATAAACACTATTGTGTTTTCTTGTTTGACGATTCACCGGCCACAAAGGCGACTCTATTATCCGATAAAATACATTGACAGAAAACATACCATTAACCTGGCGATTTGCCACTATAAAGAAACGAAGGAGAACCGATCGATTGTTCACTGCCGTATAAAAGGTTTGGCGATAATTTGCCGACAAACCCTATCCGATAACTAAAAAGATCCCTGAAACCTTTGTCGACCCTTTGGAATTGCAAGAAGAGGACGCTGGATGCCTTTAATGTTTTTGGTAGTGCTGTGAGCAAGAAAAAGACACTGAAATGTCTTTAATGTGTTTTTGGGCAGTGCTGTGGGTTTTTACGGTGTTCCAGGATCACGCCCTGGCTGATGCCATAGCCTCGTGCAGACCTACCACAGGAGGAAGTTCCACCACAGTTCGGGTGGCACCTGAATATGAAGTCCCGGTTTATCTGGCAGAATATCCCGCCGTTTCCAACCTCAACTGTCTCGCGCACTGCCCATCTTACAATAACTGCCAGTCCACGTACTTTGATGAACGCGCCAAGAGATGTTACATTCTTGGTATTCAGCAGGAGACGACTGGGTATGAGACGAGCAGCGTGGTTGAGAGTGGAGGGGTGGTGACCAATCTGCAGGCGCAGGCGGTGAGTGTTATTTTGGGTGGTGTCGCTTAATGAATGGTATCGAATAGTCAAACACAGTATGGCAACTAGTATCTTATTTATTTAATGTAGCATATTAAGAATTTGGGTCTGATTTTTGTTGCCTTTCCGCCCACACCTATTTCTCCTCACTTGGAAGTTTGACAAAACGCGGATCTAACACGTGAAGCTGGTGAGAAGTCTGTAGCTACAGTAAAAGAGTGAACTGATTTAGTAAATATATCAGTGAATATCTCGTGTAAAATCTCTCTGTGTCGTTCTGGTAGAAGGAACCTATCCTCAGCGGCAAATAAACCATCCTCTGTTGTAAATGTTTGTCTTAATTTGCTTATCACCCATGAAGACTGTTTTTCGAAGGTGGTTCTGTGCTATTTTCACTCTTTGATGATAGACCGAGACACCGATAAAGAATGACTCTTTTCATAAAACAATATGGTGAAGCGTAGAGAAATAAACTAAATGTAAAAAAGAAACGAATACCTTGAAATATTTTTCTTTATTCCATTTTCCATTTAAACCAAATTCAATGGGATAGGATAAGATTGATACATAACACCCTTTTCGAGCTCTGAATTTCTAATTTTCACCTCCATCTCCATTTCCAAAGGAGCCCGAAAGTTACAAACTTCAAAGACCGGTTTATAGAAATAGTGTCACTGGTCCCGGATAAAACATGTCATTATAAAAGTAACAAAGGTATTGTGCAGTTCCTCATCTGAATATAAAAATCGAAAGAAACAGTGAAAGAAATCGTACTAATTGTGAAAGAAATCTTATTGTGACACGCATACGTTTTCCAGCTCACATTGTGTTCTTTATTTTCCTTTTTCGGAACCCCCGTATGACGAAACTGCGGTCTCGTGTAGCAAATAGTCCACCCTCCATTTAATTATACAGGTTAGAGTTAGCCTGACGTACATGTAAGTGGGTCGAAATCTCGGGCGAGTCTTACCTCTTCAATTTAATTGGAACCTGACCGTCTATTATGGAGGACTACCTGTCACGTCATACCGGTATTGGCAGTATTCATCCACCCGGTAAACATATGTAATGAACTTTTTAGAAATAACTACACTTTTTTGATATTTAAGTCAAAAAAAATCGAATTTTGTTCAGACTTAATGTAATTCGACCACCATGTACTTGCACAGTGGGTTTGCACACACAGGAAAACATGAAGAAAACCAATATTATCTAGCTATTTTTTCGACAAAAACTCATTATATCAATCAATTGATATTGACTCCTTTTTAGAACGTGAAAGGGGCTTTCAACAGTAACCATGAGTGCAACGATAAAAACAGCGACTCATCGATTGATGACGAATGTCTCAAAAAATAAATGTTCATTGCTTTTTATTATTTTTTTATATAGTTCTAAACATTAATGTGATAATGGAAGACATGACGTGGTTGTTAACACTTAATAAAGTAATATTTTGAATTTTCATAGAAATTTTAACATTTCAACCAGAGAAAATTGCTGTCTGTACATTAGTTCTCAAAATGCATCTTTTTTTATTATCACGACATCAGTCTCCATTTCCGAATGTCTTAAAAGTTAGAAACTGATAAACCGTATCTGATGCGACAGGAAAGGGATCAATACTTCTTTGGTTTAAGTTACCTGTAGAACTTCTGTATTAATTAAGCGGTCGTCTGCCTGTAAAAATTAAGGATATCCCATACAAGAACTACTTGTGTTTATCTTCTTGTTGCACTTGATAAATGAAGCGTGTGATTAGCTAACGTTGTAAGTTTAAGACGTTACTAAGAGCCTTTTTGCATTGGGCGTAGAGCCTAAGAGTTTCAGTATTGTCCACTTACATCTATATTATAACAGCAGATCAGCCGATGTCTTTCACGTTTTTCTCCCATACTACAACGATTTGTTGACAACTGGAAGGTGTTAGCAATTCCTTATGGTAGTGGTAAGTTAGTGGTCGTAGTTTGAATTTGATGATAAGTTTATAACTGATAAAAATATATTTTGAAAGTATTTTCTAGCCTTCGGCAATTTCTGTAAAACTTCGGCTTGTGTGACAGGTATCATGTATTGTCAATAACACTGCATCAGATAGCAGAATTTGCTGGCTACCTTTAATATCACTGGCTGCCAAACACGTTGGACTTCCTGCATAGTGTTGCTAGCAAGTCAGACAGACATATAAATGACTAATTACTATATTAATAAATTGAACTAAATTTTAGAATAAATAAATGATTTTTAATAAATTAAAATTAATGAATGGAACACCACCGAAATCTGATCGTTTCTTTACTTAGCCCTCTCCCGACAGTATCTTGAAATTTCATCATAACCCAATTTTCCATAACGTTGCTCACAGACTACCGGACAAACAGACAGATAAAAACAACCAAAAATACGACTTCCCTGGGAGAGATTATGAGGGCAACACAAACGATTCCATTTATGACAAGAAGTGAAAGTTAATGGGAATTTCACACAGCGCAGTCGGGGTGGCCCATAGCCATGTTACCGTCTCTAGAGTGGACCATCCAACAATTCAATTAAGCCCTCATCCGTTTTAATGTCGCTGTGCAAGGGCCGATCCACGGGCGGGAGACATTGTGCATGAAAACAAATATACACTCCTCGTCTACTTCACACCACATCTGCATGTTTAGTTGCAAAATATGTTTTCGTAACAGGTTAACGCACTCGCGGAGTCAACCTACAGCGAGTGTGCCAACTCTCCTTGTTCAGAGGCGGGCCGATGTCGGGCCACGTGTGACACCAGGGAGGTCTACTGTGTAGGTAGGTGAATCTATTGCTGCAGTACTTCCGCTTTGTCCGTGTTTGTCCGTTTCTGCACCGTCACGTTTGCTTGTCGTCAATTGTCTTAGGTAAAACTGAGATTCCTGTGCGTCTATGTATGTATTTTTATTGTTGTTATATTATAAAAGCGATGAGTCCACCACCCATGCCCAATAAAAAGTTTGCTTTGTTCACATGAACATGCAAGTATAAAATTAGATAAAGTTATTTTTGCGACAGTGTCATGTTAGAGACAATAAATTTTCAACTATTCAAAAGCCAACGACCGATACGAAGCAGTAAACCAAAAGAGAGAACCTGCTTGCGAATTCTGCCCTTACACTCACCATACTTCACATTGATTCTACATGTAGCAGCACGTATTTGTTACACACACACACACACACACACACACACACATATATATATATATATATATATATATATATATATATATATATATATATTTTTTTTTTTTTTTTTCTACAGAGTCTAATATATCTAGGTAATGGGATTGGACAATTATGTGATAAATTTTCATTTTTAAATCTTTTATATTAAATATTTTAATAAAAGTATTAAGTGGCTACGAAAATAATCAATATTTCTTTTAACATAACGTTAAAGAATAATATTCTATCATTTCCAGGCGACCTGTCGGACTGTGAAGAGACGCCATTTTCTAACATATACGAGTGGACCACGACGACCTCCAAGAGCGTCGGCACTGGAACTGCGTTTGTACGTTCGCCCTTTATGTCTTTACTCACAGTTTGACAGAACTTGTTTTGTAGAGATTAAATAGAGAAAATGTCACTTGGCTGGCGGTTTGCAATGGTTATCATGAAATATCAAAGAGCTACATGAGAGGATATGATATAATTAAATAATATGGAGAGTGTACAGTGTGTAGTGTGAATATAAGATATATATATATATATATATATATATATATATATACTAAGATAAGCTATAAAAACCATTTCTTGATAGCAAGTTGACGTTTTGCTTATAGCCTTTTCATATACAAAAAGATATATTTAGCCTTGTCGATGATGTGTATTGCAGACCATATCATATACCAAAAAGAAAGGAGCAGAAACTGGTCTTTACCTCAAATGGAGTGGGACCATGAGATCAGCGTATAACGTTGCGGGCGGATGCACGTACTGGGTCTTCATGATTGACGGATCAGAATGTGCTGATCCTGGGCGCATCCGGTACGCAGAGTATCACTCCCAAGCTAGAAACCACTTGAAACACACGGAGTGTAAGTTCTTTATTTCTGAACTGTGTATAAGCGCATGTGTTAGAATGGATATATGGAGAAAGGTTGCTGTCAAATAGAACATGTAATTTTTAAGTGGGCGTTTCAGGACAGGACATGTGTCTATATAGGCCTATACTTGTTGCTATATCTTCTGGATTTCATTTTGTATTATTTCATTACTCATCTTTTTTTTTCTGAAAGAGAAATTAGCATTTCTATTGTTACAATTTTGAAAAAGTCTGAAATGTCATGATAGAAATTCTAAAACAAAGTTATTTATCGTGCCGTAAATGTAGATGTATATTTATTCATAGACACCTCATTACCAGGACGTCATTAGTAATCTAAAGGTATGTTCTTTTTCCTAACATATTTCCAACGGCATTAATATTCTAATATTTGTTTTTCTCTTAGTTTTCGGTATCTGTAATAACATAGCAGCCGGAGTGAGATCAATTTCTCTGTCAACTGTTAGATGTAGCACAGATCGAAGTAACCATGTTGGATGGAACGCTAGAAGCAGGATAACCGTGGCCGAAGTAGAATACGGCGTCGGCTCTGGTAAAAGAACAGAATCTTTATTTTCAGTATTGGTAGAAAACTGGGAGAATCGCTCTAGTGCAATTATACGCCGATGTGATGATGACTGTATCTCTGTTCCTTAAGCCCATGTTCTAATGCCTCATCAATATTCACCATTAGTGCTTAGAACTTCCTTTGTACTGGGGCTCTGACGGCGTCTCACTTCTCTATAATTTTCCCTAATCTCCACAGTTTCGTTAATACCCCCAGTACCATGATAATACTTAAAGTGTTGAGTTACCGACAGACTCTGATAACGCAGAGGAAGAACATTCACCTGTTCAATCCAAAAGGGCTTCCAGGTTGCGCACCTGCCAACAATAAGATGCCCCTTCACAACAAATCGAATTCATTGACTTAATTGTTATCAAATCAAGAGAGAGAGAGAGAGAGCTAGAGAGAGAATATAACGCTAACAAAAGCCCCTTTAAAACTCGTAAATGTACCGTTTTAAGATGAAATCTGTGCATTTCGTAAACGTACCATTTATTTTTCAGGTGCATGCGCCTCGCTCTCCACATTTAACATTCAATATCTGAACAAATACCGCTACTCCAGCACAAGAAGTGAAAATGTCCATATTGTAAGTAAAATACTTTATTCACGTTAGTGTTGGCTGAAACCGTGTTTACACCTTAGCACAGCAACAATATTTTGTTCTAAGATACTATGGATGTACTTATATGCATCCTTTTGCTTTAATTTACCGCACAGACAAAACTGAGGCTCTCAGTAAAAATCATTTAAATGTAGTCAAATGTTCAACTTCCTCGCCCACAACAACACACGCAGTGGTGTAATTAGTTGTGCAACTATTTTCTAGAGCGAGACATTCCGGAAGAGGGCCAGTGATACCGCACTTGTCGTTCATTATTCTGGAAATTTGTATGTGTCCGGAAGCCCGGTTTGTTCGCGATGGTACTTTAAGTTTAATGGAGCAGAATGCCAAAATCCAGGCACAGTCGATATGGTTTTCTACACGCAGGGGGAAACCTCAGTTCACAGGGGATATGCAGGTAGGCTTTTTTCCTTTTTTCAGAGAGGGAGAGAGAGAGAGAGAGAGAAAGAGAGAATGCAAAGGTGTGCAAGAGAACACATGTTTGTAAAATACTAGTAGTTCATATAGAAACAAGTTCAATTTTAATTGCTTACTCTAGTCGAATAACTTATCACATGCAGTGATGCAAACCATTGGACGGATTAAACTCCCTCCTATGACAACCGCTTGATAAAGTGTATCCCTCTGACTTGGGAGCCGCGTATTAAAAAGTTGTTGGCGTTGAAGTACGTCTATATTGTACTACCCACATCCCCAATGTACACGTTGATAGGTTGCCTAGAGGTTATGTAATAGTGAAATTAAAATTATGGGCACCCTTGTACCAATGTTCATAATTGCGGAAGGGGTGATACTTTTTTTTTGCTAGGGGAGTATATATACTTTGTCTGTGTAGCCTGAAGCCATAATTTCTATCTTCAGTACACGGACTATGTGAAGGACTTGCGGCAGGGACGGTTACGGTTTCCCTTCACGTTGGAGCCTGTTACGATAGCTATAGTGCAGGCAATCCCCATACCGGTTGGAATCAAGAGAACTTGCTGATCATGGAGGAGTCGCGTCTTGGCAATGATATAAGTGCTGGTGAGTATTTAATGTGAATTAACATAGGTCCCCTTTATATGGAACGTTATATTTAAGCGATACAGCTGCACCGGCGTGTTTTCAGAGGGTTTTTCGGAGCAACTATGTTGTGGGAATTGAGGGACTTCACTTCCCTTCAGAAGTTTAATTCTCCTTCTTATTGTCTTGTTGAGTGCTAGGGATCAGTTTAAGTGTCTCTCTTGTTCACAGTAAGAGCCAGATTATTTAACCTCTCAAAACATGCTGCTCAACTGTCTCTAAGATAACGATCGATGTAAAAATCCTGTGCAGAAGCTAACGTGCCTGAAAAGTATGATCACGTTGAAAAGGATTCTAGAACAATCCCACCCGGACAATTGCCCCCCCCCCCCCAACACACACACACATACACTGCAGTTGAATTATTTGTTTTGAGGTATTTATATATTACTTAAATATTTTACGTAATAGAAGAAAAAAGACAGAAAATGAAACGAAAACAAAATATTGGCAGGGGGAAGTGGTGAAACAATTAAAACTGGCAGTTAGTTCACCAAAAGGATATCTCGATGCCAGATGGATCGTCCTGATACTGGAAAAAAGCAATATCAGGTTAGGGAGTGTAGCATATCCTGGTATCAGTGAAAATAAGAAATCACAGATTTACTTCTTCTCATCCTATTCTTAAATCTTTCCAGTTCTCACCCCAAATGGTCACGCATATCGTCTCCCAGTGGTGAACAGACAGCACGGGTGGTGGCTCAACCTTGACAACGGGAACAATAATGCACTCATCAAGGTGAGCTATATGTACACGGGTCGTTTTGGTTATTCTATGAATTGGCATATTGTGACGTCATTGTGTCGTGAATTTCTGCCTGTCGTTAATGACGATGTGCACTCAGTTGAAATATTTCCATATTTTCTTTAGGCGTTCGTGTACAACAAAGTGTATACGGACAGTGGCATTAATGTCATATGGAGTTTCAACTGTCGTATCCTTGGAAACCCAAATTGTGGACGCTGGTACGTGACGTTTAACGGAACCGCGTGTAGCAACCCAGGCAGTATTGAGCGGGTGATGCACGAGGGCGGTCCTTCGGAGGCCAACTGGCTACAGCCGTGTGTATGTAAGTATGTTTTGTAGTGGTAACCTTGCTGCCATGTACAGACCTAACACCAACCGCAGAAATGTCCTCTGTTGGTGCGTTTCCAAATTGCGACTGACTTTTTCTGGAACACGTTTCTTTATAAAGATAAATCAGATATATGGGGGGGGGGGGGGGGGGGGGGGCTCACTACTGCATTGCAGTGAAGCGCTAAATGAAACGTTCTGAGTTTACTGGTTTCTGTTCCTAATTTATGGTGTTTTTAATGTCAACTATCTACACTGTAAGGAATGTAACAATAGAGATCAGTGATAATACTAATTATTATGCATATTATAGACTGATCATGACTCTATAATGCCCTGGCGAGTTCAGGCCAGTCATAAAAAGTGCTACTTCTTTCCCCAGATCCCATCATTGCTATAGCTATATTGAATAGTTAAGGAGGATGTCTTTCTTATTAACGTCACAATTTGAGAGAGACACTTTAGTTAACAAAGTATAACTTTATTTTACATCTTCAAAACATGTCAATTCAATGAAATAAAAACAGATAGCCTTTTTCATCTTTCTCAAGCTAAATGAAGTGTTTTGGCTTTGTTTCAGTGGACGGAATCTGCCACGACATTCCCAGCGGCCCAACAAGTGTGGAGCTAAGAACCGCGCCCTGTTCTGGTTATTCTGGTCATGGAATGTACACTGGGTGGAGATCCACCACCAACGTAATTGTCGAAGAAGTGTTTGTAGGCGTTTAAATACTATTCGCATTATTATCTTATTATTTTATCATTATTCTTTTTATTATAAGTTCTGAATGTAGGGAGCAAATTATACACCACCAATGGACTCAGTCGCATTTATAAGTAAAATAAAGAGTGCGTATGTATTCAATCTTAATCTTTGCCATGCGGATAAGACAGGTGTTTCAGAACTTTTCTACAAAATACATTTGGCTAGTTCAGGTGAACCAGAGAGTTAACCTCAGAAGTAGCCATTCAAGTATTTTTCTCCAGAATTTGATTTATAAAGCGCGCACATGAAAGTGCACATACAAGTGAAAAGGTATCCGCAATGTATAATTTACCGGACAGATCCATTCTTGTAACTGTCTGGTTATGGATGTCCCATATCAACATTTTTTTCTATTTGCCTCACCCTTGAATGGGAATTTTTAGGTGTATTGCTGCAATTTGCATATTGAGATTTTAGCCAACTTATTGTCTGCTGTGCACGTATATTTGTCATGTGTCTTAACTGCAATTTTTAAAGGTTAATTAATGTTTAACGAACCCTATATTATAAACAATTAAAGCTGATGAGGTTGATTTCCGACCGCTCCGACCCAAAACATCACAAAAGATCATGAGGTTGAAAAAAGAAGTATGGAGACCACACATTAAGTCTTCAGTTTCTTTACGTCAAGTGGGACCCTTTTGGTAGGCCATAATGCCAATGTTTTGTATTGTAGTAATACGAATTATGTTAATACTATTTATTAATAGTAATTATAACAATTAGATTGTACACTAAAACAAGAGACAAAACAGCCAGATTATAAAATGAAAAAAAAAGACAAAATAATTGGATTTTACCATCAAATAAGATGGTATTAAATTGTTCAAGCTCAAAGTGTATGCAGCTTGATGTCCTGTGATTTGGTCAACTTTACACTCAAAACTACTTCTGCCCAACTTGACATGTACCTCTGTTGACAATGTGCGCTCTTGTAATTGCTTTAATTCATGTGAGTGAATAAAGTCGTGAACTCTGAATTTTCATGTTTTCTCTATCACCAACAGATTTCCTTGGCCGCGTATATGCTACGAACGATATTCTACGAAGCATAACGGGAATAAAAGTGGGGACAATGTATGATTTTAAGTTAAATCTAATGTGTTTCATGTAGAATATCTACAACCGTGTTCATAATAAATGCACGTAGAGCATTCAATTTGATTCCCCTTGTCTACAACGCAGTTTGTACTACGGTAAACTCGAGTTGTTATATTACGTCTATATCTGGAGAGAGAGAATCGCATCAGAAGAGTCATCTCCCACTCGCTCAAAGCTCCAACCTCGGATCCTAGAAGATACCAGAAATGAGTACATGACTGTCATTATTATAAAATAATCTGGCAACCCATAATTTGGATAAATACGTTGACATAACAAGAACACACACCCTCACACACACACACACACACACACACACACACACACATAAATATTAAAGTCGCACATTGCTTGTTTGCAATATATGGTTAAGGATCTTTTCAATCCTAGTTCGTTGTGTCCTCCCTGGGGAAATTTATTGGGATATTACCCTCTATCAGGGTCGCAGATTTCAGGGTCGCAGATTTCATTATGTGCACTTTTCTGTGACTCGCCACAGTGTAAAGAAGCCCCATCATTTAACATCTCTGTGAATATCTAGTGAAAAATCAATCTTTGGCGCTGGTTGAGGGCACTGGGTTATTATCATACACAATAACCAACACTACCATATGACCGGGCCTTTTTGCCCTACTTCAAACTCCACACTATATGCTGAATGAAAAAATCCTTTATACGCCACATTTACGTATATATATATATATATATAACTGTGTTTGGGAATTCTAGTCAGCATTAAGGGTGTATATAGAGTAGAACAGTAAATCGTTGTTTTAAATTAAAATTCGTTTCAGAGCGTGGGGCCTGTTTCTTGAACGACGTAGGGTGCTCAGCCTAGATGCTGGAGGGCTGAAAGTCGACAATGCCATATGGATGTGACCTAGATAGTATATGTCTAGAATATAACAGTCTGAGTTGAGAGCGAGTTTCGGCTAAAAATAATTATTAAAAGGAGCCCTTGGGATTTGCTCGTCTTCTGTGGTAAGATAAGAAGAATAAAAAATAAACATGATCTCATAGGAGTCAATCTTTATTTGAACAGTTACAACGATGCGCTCAATTGAAAATTAGCACTATCGACACGTTTTGAAGCAAATTCTTTTATTACTTGTATTACTATGAATCTTTGATAGATTACGCGGATATAACTTTATTTACATGACTAAAATCGGGATCACGCCTTTGTCAATTTCTGTATCTTCATTGTCAGTTGTTTCATGAAGAATGTTTACCATGCTGTTAGTGATCACCAAGACTTCGATTGCCATCCCAAACTTGAGCACAGTCCGTATGTGATAAAGAGATAAACAAATATCAATCCCACAATACTGATATTGAAATAGGAATGAGAGCCTGAGGTACAAATGATGAACAAAGACAATGTCATTGTTTTTTGTGATCGCCTGGCTCTGGTTCTGTGAAAATAAAACAATCGGGTGTACATTTACGGTTAACAAAGTCTTTGAAGAATAAAATATATCGACGGCGTTGCACTTTGTAAAGAATCACATTTGGCCAACTGTTAAAGAAGTTGCTAAAAGGTGTGGTAACAGTATATGCCTCGATGGGCAGGGTTTATAATTTCGCTTGTTCGAAATATATGTGGCTCTTTATTTGTGCAAATGTTTTTGGAACACCTACAATAAAGAAATAAGGTTGAACAATCAAATGCAATTTTGTTTTGCAATTTTGTTGCAATAACTATGGACAAACTGCCATCAACGTAGAATATACAGGTAGTTCGATATTAACCTGTCAATCATAACCAAAAGTACACTGTCGTTCTGCAAAGGTCATGTTTCAGGAAATACAGGATTTTGCTTTTGACTATCTGCAGTAGGCAAAATAAACAATCGGTTTTTAAAAGGAACTACAGCAATTAGCAAACATGCCATGATCAATGGATAAAAAAAGAAAAAAAGCAGTGTTCATCTGCAAGCTGGAATCACGAGGGAACACATGTAGACAGTAAAATGACTTCGGTCATTTTTGTCGTCCTGTTAATGGTTTTACCATTGTCACATGCCCTCACAACAAGTGCTTTGGACATGTGCCGCCCTAGTACCGGGAGTGGTTCTATGCCAATCAGAGTGACTCCTGAATATGAAGTCCCAGTTTATCTTGCAGAATATCCCGCCGTTTCCAACCTTAACTGTCTCGCGCACTGTCCATCTTACAAAAATTGCCGGTCCACGTACTTTGATGAACGCGCCAAGAGATGTTACATTCTTGATATTCCGCAGGAGACGACTGGGTATGAGACGAGCAGCATGGTGGAGAGTGGAGGGGTGGTGACCAACCTGCAGGCGCAGGCGGTGAGTGTTGTTTTGGGTGAAGCAGCTAAAAATAATGCAATCTTCATCGTTTCGTTGCGTTTTTGTATCTTGTATGATCTAGTCCTCTTAATCAGCGGACGGGTCGGTTATAAGGCTATAAAAGTTTTATGTCTGTGAAACTGTCAAGGATTTTGACCCTTTTGGACTTATAAGATTTATTTTAATCCATCCCATTTCATTTTATTAAATATTTTAATATCTTAAAAGAACATAATATTGGTTTCAAAAGATACAACGTTTATCATGTGTCTTTGTGTTTTTAAGACATTGACAACAAATCGATTGAGGGGTCTCGTCTCTTTTCAATTAATTTTTTTCCTGTCAAAGCAAATGTTAATTTAAACATATTTACAACTAATCATAGTGTGTCTAAAATCAGTACACTGGGAACGACTGCTCCACACCACACCTGGATACCGAGTGATTTTAGAAATTGAAAAACTGATGAAAGAGTGATTGACACTCAATTGTTGTCCAGATTAATAAGAAAATTAAATAATTGGATGGTGAAAATTTAAAAAATGAAAGATGCATTTATGTACAGTAGCTGTGTTTTCTGAGATGAACAGACTTACCGAAGCCATACCTCAGCATTGGTACAAACAAATGATGCATTGAAATTTCTGGACTTTCCAGATATCTATTGTGAAGAGAACTTCAAAATGTATGAACTGTTATGAACTTTCTTAATTGCCTTTAAACTGAATTAAAAAACAAATACACTTCAAATTTGTCAAGAACTTAAAATTTTATTTGATACCATTTGCAGCCAACCAAGCATTATGAAAATTTACACAAAATTACAACAATTGAGTTTTTTTTTAATTCCTATTACGTCCTTCTTAAAGGAAACACCTAATCATAATAAAGTGTCAATCGCTGCTTAGTGATACATTCAAATTACATGGATAAGCCGCATTTCAAATTAATCGCTTTGTACTGGTAGAATTGAACATGAAAATAAACAACCAAGTACACCATAAAAGTTGATAATCTTGGAATCGAATTGCCTCTCTGTGCGTGCATCTGAACACAATCCCATGTTTCCTATGTTTGTTACAGGTAAACGCACTCGTGGAGTTAACCTACAGCGAGTGTGCCAACTCTCCTTGTTCAGAGGCGGGCCGATGTCGCACCACGTGCGACTCCAGGGAGGTCTACTGTGTAGGTAGGTGAATCCACTAAATTTTGTCCCCATTCTAAACAATACGCCCAAATTTGCAAGGTATTATGGGACGCAGTAACAAATTCAAAAAATGTGAAAAATGTTTGTATATCCAAGAGCGTTT